TAAAAATTATAACTATATTATATTATATAATTATTATATTATATTAGACAAATATATTATAATTAGTATATTATATAACTATAACATGTGTAATACACTGTAATACACTATAATATATAACAATATTATAATTATAAGATTATATTCATATTTAATTATATTAATTATTATATTATTATTAATATAATAAATATAATTATATCAATATAATATAATGTAATAATATTATTGTAATATTACTAATATAATAAATATAATTATATCAATACAATATATTATATAATATATAATATATGATAAAATAATAATTATAATATCATATTATAATTATATTATAATTATAATGTAATATTATTAAAATAATTATAATATTATATTATATGATAAAATAATAATATTATAGTTATTAATATAATTATGATATTATGTGTTACAATATTACTATTATATTATATTATGACTTTGAATTTTAAATTGAAAATATTGTAAATTTAAAATTTTATTAAGGTTAGGACCGGTAATATGGGTCACGACACGATAACACGACTCAAAAATGATACGAATTTTGCGGGTTAGGGTTGAGAAAAAAGATGTTCGGGTCATAATTGGGTCGACCAGAAATTAACATGAAAAACACTGGTCAATTTCGGGTTGGACCCGCCTAACATGAACACGACACAAAACTCGTAAAAAACTAAAAAATACTTATATTTTTCATTTCATATTTTTTATTATATTATGAACTTGTGATATCATGATAGTTATACTCAAAATTTTATACTATTATTTGCTTAATTTCAATGGATGTTATTGTATTTCAGTGTGTTATGATTTTTAAGTTATTTCTAATAATTAAAAAACTAAATAAAAGTATATAATTTTCATGTTAATTTCGGGTTTACAGGTCAATTTCGTGTCACGGGTCATTTTCGTGTCGTGTCGTATCGTGTCAACCTGTAAAGTGGTCGTGTCATGTTCGTGTTGTAGTTTTTAAAAAATTTTGTGACGCGGGTCGTGTTCGGGTTTGACTGCAAATTTAGAAAGAAACGATCAAAACACGACACGTGACACAAATTGCCACCCCTAATTAAGGGTATTGTAGGTATTATGAAAGTTTCATTAATTATACTACTCTGATTCTCGCCCAATCTAAAAGTTAAAGTTGTCTTTAAGTTGATTCTGATTTTGACTGTAGATTCTTAAAAAATTCTTCAAAAAACACTTTTGAGGAGATTTACTAAACACTAAAATCAATTTTTACTACAAGCAGAATCTGATTTTGAGAGGGAAAAGCAATACCAAACTAAGCCATAAGGGACGAGAGGGAATTTTGGGACAATCACATGTGAAAATTTTTTTAAGGCCGTTTATTTCTCACTCAAAATTTAAATTAATGATTTTATTACAGTATTTTTTTTTCTCATGAAAAATTTAATTTTTAAACATTAAAATCAAGAATCATGATTTGAGTGTACTTTTTAAACGGGTCTTTTATGATCCAAACGCAGAGGGAGGTAAGGCCTAGGGGCATATATTCTTAGTTTTTAGATTTTACCTTCTTGTTTTAAATTTTTTTCATATGTGTCCTCCTTCATTCACAAAAATTTCAAAATATCTCAACCAAAATCCAATTTTTTTTTTTTACTTTTTTCTTTTTTTTTGAATGTTGTTTATTTTTTCTATTAAATCTTATACTTTTAAATGCACCTAATTGAAAATTTTCACTTTACTATAGTTAAAATTTTTATTTTTATTTTTTAAATTTGTTACTTTTAAAATATTATTTTCATATAATTTTTATTGTATCAAAACTGACTCTCACCAAAAAATTAAGGAGTTGTTTGGTTGGAAAATTCATACCCCGATTCGAATCATGATTCGTAGTTCACTACAGTATTTTCTCTCACAAAAAATACACGTAAATCAAAAATAGTTCTAATCTCATAATTCTAATCCATGAACCAAACGTCTCCTAAATAATCCCTTAAAATTATATTTATCAAATGTGTCCCTTATTAAGCATTTTTTTCAAGTAACCCTCTCAATTACTATTTGCTTGTAAACAACTTTTCTCTAATTTACCTTTGTTGAAGTAGTAAACACTTTTATCTTTAAAAGTTTATTTCTCAAAAAATTCAATATAGCGATCAATATGCACATTCATTTGCTTTCAATATGTTAATAGTATTGATGCTATGTTTGGTGTGATGGATAGAAAAGAGGAAGGAAAGAAGTAAATACTTAGGTGAAGGAAGTAAAATGGTTTTCTCTCATGTTGTTTGGTAGAAAAGAAAGAAAAGTGAAAAGAAAATGTCAAATTTAAGGCATTTTACAATAAATACTCCAATACAAATAAAAATATAATATAATGAATGGTGAATGTTAAAATTGTTATTTTACATCTCATTTTTTTGTCAAACTTTTTCCCCTATCTTTTCTTCCCAAGTTGGAATGATTAAAAATTAATGCGCCCCATGAATTTTTATTTTCCTTCATTCTTCATTTTCTCTCTGCCAAACGACCTAAAACTCTATTTTTTTCTATAAAATCCTTTCTCTGTTTACTTTCTTCTCTCTTTAACATCCTACCAAACACGTCATTGACTACTAATGCAAGCTGCTCGGGAGGTTTGGATTCACAGATGGAAAAATCAGCTCTTCTCTTTGAAATAGTACATTAAATGTTGTACTTCACAATAGTCCTTTTAACCGGCGCTTGATAAAATTCTTTGATTTTTGAACTAGAAAAATAATAAAAGAATTTTGAGTTTATTCCCTATTATTTTCAGTTATTTTCAATGTAATGAACCTAAACTTCAAATCATATGTTTTAAACTATAAGAATCCAAAACTATCACGTCTTGAACCTATTCACCAAATCGGCATGACAAATGGTGCTTATGTTGTATTTTGGTATTTTTTATATTAGTTTTCGACATAATTATTGACATAAAAATGTTTAAAAATGGAGGCATGGACATGATTCAGCCACTTAGTGAGTTGATGCGACACACTCAATATTAACTTGATACGAGATTGACTTGTCACGGCACAACTTTGACTCATGATCGCAATGTTGACGCAAAAATTATGGACAAGTTTGTTTACACATTACAAAGTACTAAAGTTTAATAATAAAAATACTTCACAACTAATAAAGAGTGAGGGGTTGTTTAGTTGGGGGATTCGTACCCCAATTCAAATCATAATTGATGGTTCGTTACAGTATTTTTTCTCACAAAAATACACGTAAATTGAAAATGACTCTAATATTATGATTATAATTCATGAATCAAACGTCTGCTGAGTCTCCGCATGAGTCGAATATTGCTAGGCCCACTTTTGATAACTTCTTGCCTCTTACCCTCTTCTTCCCCTTACTCTTCGGATCTCAATCCTATCTTCTTGTTCCCACTTCCACCAGAGACGTCTACTCTGACGCTGCTTGATCTATCACTCCGCTTGGGCTTATGAACTCGACAAACACTGGTCACTAATGTTTGGGGCCCACTTTTGATAACTTCTTGCCTCTTACCCTCTTCTTCCCCTTACTCTTCGGATCTCAATCCTATCTTCTTGTTCCCACTTCCACCAGAGACGTCTACTCTGACGCTGCTTGATCTATCACTCCGCTTGGGCTTATGAACTCGACAAACACTGGTCACTAATGTTTGGGCAGTTCATCTTTCTTTTTCCAACGATGAGATTCTTAAAAATTGCCTCTCTATTTGTGTGTTGTTAAACGCTACAAGTGCATTTAACATTTTTTAATTCACAACCTAAAATAAGAATATCCATCAAACTTGGGCAAATAAGAATGCAAAGTTATGACAACCAACATAATGTCGCAAGATCACAAATTAATAACAAAATTGAAAATCCTACCAAAATAATAGACTTTACCAAAAGCCATATTGTACATCTATTAACCATATATAACTGTGTAAAAATTTGCACTGTTTTTCTATTTATTTATTTTGGGTCCTTCTTTCACCTTTTTTCTTTTCGCCCCTATAATTTCATTCTATTCATTTTGGACTTTGGACCCCCTCCTCTTGTTTCTTTTTTTCAAAAAAAAAAAAATTTCCTTGAAATAAATTTTCTTGGATACGTTGGGATTCAAACCAAAACGGTTTGTTTTGGTCGACACCCATTTTTATTTTTTGGCTTTTTTTCCCCTTAAATTTTTATTCTTTTTATTTTTATCCTTTCTTTTTTGCTTTTTTTCTTGAACGAACCTCCCCATTTTATTTTTCAATCATTTCAACTAAGCATAATTTGGTAATTTTAAATGTTAAAATTAAAGGTCCTGTTCATTTTATTGATTCGCGTTTAAAATTTGAGTTTTGTTATAATAAAAAATTCTTATAAATAATTAAATCTAATTTTTTCATTATAATAAAAAATTCTTACATAAAATCATGTGTCAACTCGAATTAAAAACTTAAATAAGCGAACTAAGTGTCAATCCTAAAGATGTACATACCTGCTTGTTAAACTTAAGAGCAATTTAATTTCATGGTGTACATTTATAACAATTAAAAATTAATGAGATATATATATTTATACTTTTTCATTAAATAAACCTAAATCATAAGGTAAAAGTAAATAACCCTTAAAAAAACTAATCCCTATATTTTCGATCAATTCAACCATCAACCAAATAAAAACTATCTTCCAAAAAAAAAAAAAAAATCCAGATCTTGTCGTTCAAAAGCAACCCACACGCCACTACTTGTCGTTCTTTGGCACTTTCTTCTTGCTCTTGGGGACTCTTTCTGAAACAAAAAAGTCTCTTTCTTGCTCTTGTATGTCGGCAGATTATAGTCCGTCGTTTGTAGACGTTCAAAAGCTTCAGCAAATCTTCTCTTTCTGAGTTCGGTAATTGCAAAACAGATGCAATCTTCTCTCTAACACATACCAATACTCGTCTAACGTAAATCCAAAGAAGACAACAACATTACTATGATTCTTCAATCAAGAACTCTCTCAAAGCTAAGTATGAAGCGCTTTTTTCTCACATTTCGGCTTCAATCTCCGTCGCGTCCTTGTTCAATCTCCTACGGTTCTAAAGACTTGTCCATATCTGCAGAATTTTGCAGCTCTTGCAATGCACACCACTTGTTCGAGAAAAGTCCTAAGAGAGACTTTTTGGAATCCACTAACTTGCTTTTCGAGTACTCTCGTAATGGCTTTAACCATGAATCTCTGAATCTCTTTGCCGGGCTTTGCCGCTCCGGTTTTCCGGTTGATGGGTTAGCTCTGTCTTGTACATCGAAGGTTTGTAGATGCTTGTTTGATCAAGTTGCGGGTAGGCAAGTGCATTGTCAATGCGTAAAATCCGGGTTTGTGGAGGATGTTAGTGTTGGCACTTCTCTTGTTGATATGTATATGAAAACTGAGGGTATTAGAGATGGAAGGAAAGTTTTCGATGAAATGCGGGAGAAAAATGTGGCCTCTTGGACTGCATTACTCACGGGCTATGCGCACAATGGATTGAATGACTTCGCATTAGATTTGTTCTTCCAAATGCATTTTAATGGAGTTAAGCCTAACCCATTGACGTTTGCAACTGTCATTGGTGCTTCGGCAAATCGTGATATGGTTGAGGGAAGTCAAATCCATACCATGGTGATAAAGAGTGGTTACGAGTCGAGTACATTCGTGTGCAATTCTTTGATTAATATGTACTCAAAGTCGAGCATGATAAAGGATGCTAGAGCTGTTTTTGATATCATGGAGAGTAGGGATGTAGTTACCTGGAACAGTATTATTGCGGGATATGTCACAAATGGGCTTGATCTTGAAGCTTTTAGAATGTTTTATTCGATGAATCTTACTGGTGAAAAGCTCACACAACCATTATTTGTTACTTTAATTAAGTCATGTGCTAACCTTAAGAACTTGTGTTTTGCAAGACAAGTTCACTGCCAGGTTCTCAAGTGTGGATTGCAATTTAATCACAATATCAGAACAGCCCTTATGGTGGCTTACAGTAAATGCACTGAAATGGATGATGCCTTCAAAATGTTCTCTATGGTGAAAGATGTTCGAAATGTGGTATCATGGACTGCCATGATCAGTGGGTACTTGCAGAATGGTGCAACGGAGCAAGCAGTAAATTTGTTCTGCCAAATGAGTAGTGAGGGTGTTAGACCAAATGACTTCACTTATTCTATCATACTTACTGCTCAACCATCTATGTTTGTGGTCCAAGTACATGCGCAGGTCGTGAAAGCAAATTATGAGAAATCACCTACTGTAGGAACTGCGCTATTAGATGCATATGTTAAAATGGGAAACATTGAAGAAGCTGCTAAAGTTTTTGAATTAATTGATGAGAAGGACATTGTCACATGGTCGGCAATGCTCGCTGGGTATGCTCAAATGGGGGAAACCAATGGAGCTGTTAAGATTTTTCTCAAGTTAGCAAAGGAAGGAATCAGACCGAATGAATTCACCTTTTCTAGTGTGATTCATGCCTGTGCTGGACCTACAGCAGCAGCAGAGCAGGGAAAGCAATTTCACGCTTTGTCAATCAAAATGAGGTTGAACAATGCTTTATGTGTAAGTAGTGCTCTTGTTACAATGTATGCAAAGAGAGGAAATATTGAGAGTGCAAATGAAGTTTACAAGAGGCAAGGGGAGAGGGACTTGATTTCCTGGAACTCAATGATATCTGGCTTTGCACAACATGGTCAAGGGAAGAAGGCTCTTGAAATATTCGAGGATATGCGAACAAAACAATTAAAAATGGATGGCATAACTTTCATTGGTGTTATTTCCGCTTGTACTCATGCAGGCTTAGTAGATGAAGGTCAAAGATATTTTGATATGATGGTCAAGGATCATCACATCTCTCCAATAATGGAGCATTATTCATGCATGGTTGATCTATATAGTCGAGCAGGAAAGCTTGGAAATGCCATGGATGTTATAAACGGAATGCCATTCCCTGCAGGTGCAACCGTATGGCGAACTCTCTTGGCAGCTTGCCATGTTCGCCGCGATTTAGAGCTTGGAAAATTTGCTGCAGAAAAGCTTATTTCACTTCAGCCAGAGGATTCTGCCGCATATGTACTGCTCTCCAATATTTATGCCGCAACGGGAAACTGGCAAGAGAGAAACACGGTGAGGAAATTGATGGATGAGAGAAAAGTAAAGAAGGAAGCTGGGTATAGTTGGATTGAGGTGAAACACAAGACTCATTCATTCTTGGCTGGTGACCTTTCACATCCCATGGCGGAAAATATCTATTCAAAGCTTGAAGAACTAAGGATCCGGTTAAAGGATATGGGTTACCAGCCTGACACAAATTATGTACTTCACGATGTTGAAGAGGAACACAAAGCAGCTATTCTTTCTCAACATAGTGAGAGGATGGCCATTGCTTTCGGATTAATTTCCACACCTGCGGAAGCTCCTCTCCATATTGTTAAAAACCTCAGAGTCTGTGGAGACTGCCATAACGTTATTAAGTTAATATCGTTAATTGAAGAAAGAGATATTGTTGTAAGGGACACAAATCGATTTCACCACTTTAAGGGCGGTGTTTGCTCGTGTGGGGACTATTGGTGACACTCCTGAAATGGGCTGATCCAAGTTTTTGAGGATTGCTTGAAATTTGAATCTTTGAGTTTACTCTTAGACCACATTCAGTTATAAGGCAACATTTCATGGAATCGAATTTACTTAAGTTGAAAAGGAAGGAAAATAGGTAGGCACGCATTAAATATGGTTATATCGTTTTACTCTTCTTTTGAATGGATGAAATTAGTGTAAAGATGTTGAAGCAAGAATTTAGATCCCGTTCATTTTACCGATTCGAGTTTTGTTACAGTAAAAAGCTCTCAGAAACAATCACATCTTACTTTTTTGCTACAATAAAAAGCTCTCACATCTCAACTCGAATTAAAAACTCGAATCAGCGAACTAAACGGACCCTAAATGATTATTTTCTCTCTCTTCCGCAGGTTTTAAGTGGAACTCTAAAAGCACAAAACTCATTTTCTAATACAGGTACTAATTTAACTGACTTGTGGTCTAATTGTATGCATGCTTTTATCTGTTTCTGACAATGAAGCGTGACATTTTAGAATGCTAAACTTACCTTTAAAATTCTTGGTTTCCCAAGATACATGTTAGCTGGGAATTCTCTATCCACAGTGCTTGCAGAAATTGTGAGGATCCAGGGAGCAAACATTGCCTGCAGTACTTTAGAAAATGGAGTTTCCAGCAGAAGCAGAGACACAAATTAGTCTCTGGAACATGCTGAATGTTCCGAAAGAGATTAAGATCTTCAAAGTAAATTTGCTGACATTAGGTAAACCAGCATGTTCCGAATGTTTCTAAGGTCATGGCCTAGTGAAGGAAAGAGTACATGCAGATCATCATGAATGGCATCATCCGGAGCTACGCAAATGTCTTGCATCTCTTACTGACCCGGTTAAACCAGCATGCCTTGCAGATAGCAAGCTCACCACCACTCGCAGTTCCAAAACAAGCTGACGTTAGGTACTACAGATCCCGCTGTTGTAGAGGTAGTGTAGGTTTCTTGACCATCACTATCTCGACGTGATCGAAAGAAAGGCTCGCCAAAATATTGCAGAGAACTGATGAATACTAAGGGTCCGTTTAGTTCGCTGATTCAAGTTTTTAATTTGAGTTGAGATGTAACTTTATGTGAGAGTTTTTTATTATAGCAAAAAAGTTAGATGTGACTGTTTCTGATAACTTTTTACTGTAATAAAACTCAAATTCTAAACTCGAATCAGTGAAATAAACGGGCCTTTAAAAAGTGTACATTTAATAAAACTTTATATCATCATTTTACATTTAGAGTGTCATTGAATTCCATGCTTAGCACTTTTGCATTCTTAGGTCAAAAAGAATAAAGTTGTCGTTGATAAGTAATAAATGTCGTTTTTGATGTAGGTTCGGTACTTTGAGCATAACTTAGGCTATCATAGGTCCAATTAGGCAAATGATATGTGGATTTGAATCAGCGGAAAAGAGTGAATCGGCTTCTTTTATTTCCCAAAACGGGCCGCAACAAAACAAGAATTCCAACAAAGGCCCAACCTGACCTTCATTTGTCTTTGGGCCGTATCTCCTTCAATACATATCCAAATATGTGTGATTCTAGTGGCTACTAAAAGATAATAGGCAGGTTTACAACCTTCTTGAAGACCACTTTTTCAAATTCGGATGTCATCAATGAGATAATCATCCTTTATGTTGTATGCAACATTGACTTCCAATCCTAACCTGTGGTAATCTGAGCACATATCTCTCAATACGTGTCCAAATAAGGTAATTTCGGTGGCTATTGAAAGATAAGAAATAGCGTTACAACTTTCCTAAAGATTAATTTTTCAGATTCAAATGTTATTACTGAAAATATCAGCCCTCAAGTTGCGTGTCCAACATGACTACTTAAAATGTTAAAATTGGTGGCAAAAATGTTAAAAATGCATGGTTGTCATTTGAATTTGACCAAGGCCTCATTTTTGGCATTTAGCCCTTCTCACCTTCTATAAATAAACCTGAGAAGAAGCTTGTACAACTATCTTAGTTTAGAGATTAAGATCACTTGCTTGTTTTCTCTCTTTCTTGTGTTTCTTTTGTGCGGTTCATCATTTTTGTAAAGTAGTTTCAAATTAATGTTTTTGATGATTTCCTACTTATATTTTGTGTTCTACATGTCAATATGTCTTTTTACTTTCATTTTCTGAGGTGATAGAGTGAAACTCTTGGTAGATATTAAGGTTAATTTAATACTCTTAACTTAAAATTAATGTGAATTATCATTTGTTGCCGTTAGTATATGTGTTATATTCATATGTTTTGATAACATACATATAAAGTAGGAGTCTTGTTCGTTATAGACAATGATTGGCACAAAAAATGCTTGGTTTTATTTAGACGTTTGCTTGGTCTGTGTTAACCTTGATTTGTTGTATACATAAATTGACATAATGAATACTTAAACCTATTTATAAGTTTGGAAGTCATAAAGTAAATATAATATCATATGCTATATTAATGGTCTTCAAATTGCTAAATCCTCCTATTGGAACTTCCGTTATGTGTGGATTCCAATTGAGATATAAAAATGAGTTAAGATTAATGTAAGTATAATATCGAGAGTGGATCTCCTAATCTCGGCGTCTTTTATTTCTTGTATAACCTTCAATCAATTTTATTTTTTGTATTTTTGCATTTGTTAAGAACATATAGATAATTCTAACCTAAGAAAATTCTTAATAAATAGTACCGGATTTGTGAATAGCGTTGTATAGTATTGTAGTAAGTATTTTTACTTTTTTTTAAATCAGTTGTAAATATCTTTTTTGTTTTTATTAAATATCTATGATCTTGTAATTTTTAATTAACTTCTTTTCGGACGACTTCAGACTCTCAAGTTTTTATTACTTGAAGACAACCTGCACTTAGGTTTACAACTTAAAAGTTATAGCACGAACAGTTCTCTACTTTAAATTTTATGGTTTCGTTCAGTTCATCGATTTGAGTTTTCAATTCGAACTGAGATGTGATTTTATGTGAGAGTTTTTAACTGTAGTAAAAAAATTAAATGTGACTTCTTTATGATAATTTTTAACTGTAATAAAACTAAAATTAAAAATTTAAATCGGTGAAATAAACGAGACCATATAACTTTTGTAATTCTGATTTCGCCCTTCATTGTTGAATCGACACATCGTGAGGTGGCTCCGAAAGCGGGCCCAACTTACGCCGTCTGGTGCGAAGTGCTTGCTCACACATGCTGCCGTGGCTACGATCTTCTCATCCACGTGCTTCAACACCTTGAATAGCATTATTCTTCCTCCTTATTAAATTTGAGAGAAAAACAGAATTTCTAAAGAAATGATTTATTTTCATGTAAAATAAATCTCTCATCTGCTCCAAAGAAAAAAAAAACTCTCCTCAGCTAATTATATAATGCCACGTGCATGAAGACATAACATAACTAACTACTTGCTGTACGGTAAAACTAACATTGAAAATAATTCTACTAAACTCTAAAACTAACTTTGTACGGTTTAAATTCCGTTCATTTTATCGATTCGAGTTTTGTTACAATAAAAAAATTTTAAAAATAGTCACATTTAATTTTTTTATTACAATAAAAAATTCTCACGTAAAGTCATATCTCAACTCAAATTAAAAATTCAAATTAACGAACTAGGGTCCGTTCACTTCGCTGATTCGAGTTTGTAATTCGAGTTGAGATGTGATTTTGTGTGAGAGCTTTTTACTGTAGCAAAAAAGTTAGATGTGACTGTTTCTGAGAGCTTTTTACTGTAGCAAAACTCGAATTCTAAACTCGAATCGGCGAAATGAACGGGGCCAATAGATCTTAATCTTTGCTTCAACACTGTTTTTTTTTTATTCCTCCTCCGTCTTTATCTTCCTTTATTTCCATCGGTGAAAGAGGCATTTTTTATTTTTTATTTTTAATTTAACATCGAACAATCAATAGTTGTGCGACGCACTTTAGGAGGGAAAGCTTGGGGCAGACTGCAGAGTAGTGGCATCGCCGGAAGGGGTTTTTAGGATTAGAGTTAATTTGGGTTTAATTTTACAGTTGGTTTGTTATTTGGTTAAAGCAAATCAATCAATGATTTCTATTTCAAGCAAAAAAAAAAAAATCATGATTTATATTGGTAGATCATTAGTTTACCAAAATCAATAGTAATAAATTAAAATAAAGAAAAGAGAATAGAATATAAAAATGTTTTTTTTTTTTTTGGTACAAATCTCGTTTTTTAGGGACATTCACATGCCTCATAAAAGAAGAACATAAAATTGATAATAAAAATTAATAAAAAAGAACATAAAAAATAGCTAATGATCAATATGTCAAAAATGCATAAAATGAGAAGAGATTGGACTAAGCGTCCGTTTAGCATTACTTTTAGAAGTTATTTTTAGCTTTTTTTTAAAGTAGCTATGACAAGTTAGTTGTTTAGTAAAATTTGATTTTGCCCAGTAATTTTTAAAAAGTGTTATTAAATAGTAAAATTTAAGAAGCATGTTAGGGGTTGCTTTTATGCAGTAACTTCTGCTGTTATTGTCCAAATATACGAAAATAATTTAATAATAAAACAAACTTAATTCTCGACATATTTCACTTTTTCCATGTCAAATTAAAAAAGATATTTTAAAAATAATTATTTACAATTGAAAATCTTTAACAAGTATACTATGCTAAATTTCATTCAAATATTTTTAGTAATTATCAAAATGTTTAAAATAATAACAACTAATAAGAAATTTAGTAGATGAATAATTTTTCCCAATCAATAAAAATAATTTATTTTTAAGAAATATTTTAATTAATAAATTATATTTATATTTTTTATATTTTGAATATTTACCATAAAAATAGAAATAAAACTAACTATAAATATGTGCTAAAGTATATCTATTTTCATCATTACACATCTCCACAACAATTTTATATACAATTTACCAAACACTTAAATTTCTGTTTATGATATTCACATCAATTTTATAAAAATATTTATTAAACACTTATATGTTTCTGGTTACAGCAACTTATTACTAACAACACAGTAACAATAAAAATTTTTAACAGCACAATAATGTCAAATTAGCCTAAAAAGGATGCTAGTTCGAAATTTTGAATTCCAAAAAAAACAAACAAGGAATTTTACTACGTTTGGAATCAAAAGAATAATTGAATGAAAATAAAAAGAAAAGGGTTAGTAACACTGTTAGTTAATAAATTACGAGTATTTTTTTTGTTTTTGTCTCCCATTCTTTTTCTTAGCACGTTGCTCACTAAACATAGCTCCTTTGACAGCTTAAATCTTTAATAGTAAAGATACAAAATAATTTTTTAAAATTTAACAAAAAAATTATAATTATATCCCTATCGTACATAATTGGAAATAGTTTAAAAATAATTACATCAAAGGTAAAATATTTTAATATTTAAGAACTTTTAATAACAATAAAGAGAATATTTTGAATCTAACAAAAATAATTTACGTCCTATCACATGATAACTAAAAATGTGAGTTAATATATGATTTTGAAGGTGATTATATCTATTTTTTTCTTGAAAGAAGATGACTATCTCTATTCAATTTTAATATTTTATTAAGAGAAAATTTTAAGTTTTATCATTATTTTTTTTTCAATTCTATTATTTATGTCATTATACAAAATATTAATATTATTATAAAAAATAACATGCAGATTATAAAAAACAATCGGAGGAGTACTAAATGCAACATCTATTTCATACTCTTTTACAAATCCTAGCCATTTCTTTTAACATGTGGCATTTCTTTAATTTATTTATAAGGTTGCCATCTTTTTCCCCTGTTTGCCTCCAAATCTAACACTTCACATATTCCAACAGGAAAAAAAAAAAAAGATTCGACACGCATTCAGAGACTAATTAAGAATTCTATAAATACTAGTATATTATATATTTATTGTATATATTAATGAAATAAATCTCTACACAAAATATATAAAGTCTGTTTAATTCACTGATTTGAGTTTTTAATTCGAATTAAGATGTGATTTTACGTGAGAGTTTTTTACTATAATAAAAAAATTAAATGTGATTATTTTTAAGAGCTTTTTACTGTACAAAAACTCAAATTTTAAACTCAAATCGATAAAATAAACAGAACCATACAATAATAGAGCACAACAGAGATAATCAACCAGCAACCCAAAAAAAAATACAATAACATATACCTGAATTATCAAAAAAGTCATATACAAAAGATGGACAAAATATACATACGAAACTTCCCTAAAAAAAAAAAAATTACATACGAAACGGAAAAAAAAAAAAAAAACCATCTAACAAAACCATAAAAGTCATCTAAGGGTCCGTTTACTTCGCTGATTCGAGTTTGTAATTCGAGTTGAGATGTGATTTTATGTGAGAGCTTTTTACTGTAGCAAAAAAGTTAGATGTGATTGTTTGTGAAAGCTTTTTACTGTAGCAAAACTCGAATTCTAAACTCGAATTGGTGAAGTGAACGGAGCCTAATAATATATATGATCAGCGACTGCAAAAAGAAACAAAAATTAAAAAAAAAAAAATTAAACACAGAATAATAAGAAAAACTCGAGCAAATATATATACCTCAGTAGTTTATTATAGTAAAAAACATTTAGAAACATTCACGTCTTTTTTTTATTACGGTAAAAAATTCTCACATAAAATCACATCCCAACTCAAATTAAAAATTTGAATCAGTGAACTAAACGGGCACTGAGTAAAAGATTTCTCTATTCTATCATATCTTTTTTTAACTTATGTGACGTTTGTTTTAAGGGTCCTGTCTAGTTTAAGATTATGGTTCGTGGTTCTGCTACAGTGTTTTCTCTTATAAAAAATTTAAATTTAAAAAATTAGAATTATAAATTATGATTCTAAATTTATGAACTAAATGTCACCTTAAATTTAGAGAAAAAAAAAACAAATCAATAACAGTTTTGTAAATAAATTTTTAAAAAATGACTTGTTATTAAATGGATTTATTTGTGAAAGTGAGGATATCATATGTCAAAAGAAAATATTAACATCTGAAAAAGAGTGTAAAAAAAGTTGTATTTAGCACCTTTTAAGATTAATCTGTTACCGGTGGTATCTCTTTGATGGTTTTTGTGAAAACTTTCCTCTCTTTAATTTTTGATGTCATAGATGATAGAAGTGTATTGTGTCGAGTTTATTTTAGGTTTTACCAAAATGATGATATATGACCCGGTGATGATACTAAAAAAATTATTAAAGGAAAGTTTATAACTTTATGGGGATTCAAAATAAAAGTGAAAAAAATAATTTAAACTCATTTATCTCATCAATTTTATTGATTTAAATTTAAAATTTTAATTTTATTATAATAAATTTTTAAAAAAAATATTCATATTTAATTTTTTTATTACACATTTTACCTTAAATTAAAAACTCAAATAAAACTAAAAAAATAGTTTCTCCTGTTCTCTCCTTGATCCACTTCTCCTTAGGCCATGTAAAGAATTTCTCAGCAATCTGTTCGCCCTCGACGACGAATCTCCGATCATTAATTTCATCTTCAACGATTCATTGAGCATTAATCTCTCTCTTTCTCTCTCTCTTCAAGCTCCGGCACCGCCGTAGAATTCACCGGGAAAGTCAATTTGGAGCGTCAGTCTTTTGCTTCAATTTGCGACCAACGGCCACCGGAACCATCACTGATGCCGAAAAATCTCTTTCGGATGAACTGAATTAGGTATTTTCTCTATTTTTCTTCTTCATTTCTGTTTTGCCCTTTCGGAATCGGAGTGTTTCGATTGCAATTCGAGTCTGCGAGGTTCTTCTCCTTGTAACACACCCGATTATTAGGGAATTAGGGAGTGATTGTAGGAATCATTCCCTAATTTTATTTCTTTTGTTCGTAATCAAGGTTAATCATCTTGCATTCGAGATGTTCGACGAAAGGGTGCAGCCAAAATCTGGGTTGTTATGATGTTCTATGTGACTTTAAACGGTATTTAAATACCAAATATTGTCAATTTGTTGAAGAAAAATCAAGTTTACTTGCTATGCTATATCAGCTACGTGTACAGTAAAATAGTTTCTATTGTAGTGTGTTACCTTGTAGACAACCAGCTATAGAGAGGCATAACAATTGAAATGGGCAATCAAGGTTTTAGTCCATTTTGCCTGCTAATTACCCGAAACAGCTCAAGCTTCAAAAACTCATAATTTAAAATAGTTCTTAAATAGTACTTGGGCGTAAATGAGCTGATTTTGTGGGATTTTTGCCTTGGAATAGAGTACTCTAGCTTTGATGAGCTTGGGTGTTTTTCCTTCCTTTTGGCGAAAAGATTGTTTTTGTAGGAAAAAATGGATAAAGCTTGAGATTTATGAGATATTGAATTTCCATGATCTTTTCTAGGAAAGGAAAGATTATTATTATTATTATTTGTTTTGTGTGTGTGTGTGTGTGTGTACTGGGAAAAGAAAATTTTATTGAAAAGTTCAATATTGTTCTCTGAATCTGGTCCTGGAGTCTCAAACATGCGGGAAATTATTATAAATTTCTCTCCTGTCTTCCATTTTCTTTGATGCTATTTTCCTCTCTTAGATGCAGGTTCCAAATATATCGAAGTTGAACTTCCTATCTACACAGGCTTCCAAAATTTACTGCCAGTCAGTACAAGGGTCTTTCCAAGCGGTCACCGCAGTGAAGAGAGAAAATTTTCTGATCACTGACCGTCAGAAATAGCTATAACAAGGCGTGGCTTTTTATAAGGATCCAGAAATATCAGTATGGACCCTTCAATTATGAAGAAGCTCCTTGAAGATGATGAGGTTCCTTTCTTTCCCTTCCCCCCTCGCAATGTCTTTAGATTTAAAGTTTTCCTTTTCCTCTGTCTCTCTCTCAAAGTGATGAGAAGAGAAACCTCGCAATAATTCGAATGTGAATTTTGATTATCTTTTGGGGTTGTATATGAAGGATGAAAGCATGCATTCAGGAGCCGATGTGGATGCCTTCCAGGCTGCCCTAAATAGAGACATCAGAGGGGATGTGCCACCCACTTCGCAGCCCTATGATTCCGATTCTGGTATCTCATTAAACCAGAATTCTTTTTTGTTTTTTGTTTTTTGTTTTTGTTTCTATGAAATTTCTATCATTTCTTTTCCTCTTTCTGAATTTATATAGCAGAAAGTCTCTTTGGATTTTGGAAAGACAGAGAGAAATTTTGAAGGAAATATGTTTAAGGAAGCAATTTATGCAAGGGCTTGGAACTAGGAAACAAGGAGAATATAGTTAGATTAATTTCGTGAATGTAGGAAAGAAAATGGTAGTACTGAGTCTGGAGAATCTCTAGTTTCTGTTTATGCTTATTTGAGGAAACTTTGAGAATAGTAAGTGACTTATCTGATCAAATAATGCCAGGTGTTATTTCTCAAGGAAGCAGTAATACTTCCAGTCAGTCGTTACCACAGCTCCAAACTGGTAATCGGGATGAGAGTACTAACTATCAAGTTCAACAAGACCAAAAACCTGCACAGCCACAGGAAATAATTTCTTCTGAGAAGGAGGTGGTGAAGCATGAACATGTTGCTGAGAATCTTCAGCAGCAGCAGCAACAACAGCGTAATAATAATAATGCATCACAGGAAGTCAATGATGTTAGCTTGCCTCCGACACAATCCCAAGATGATCATCAACAGAGGCAGGGAGAACAAAATCCTCTCCAGGTTTCTCAAGGAACTGGGATGCAGATTCCTGGAAAAAGCCCAATCATGCACGAACCAGATAGGCCGCACAATCCAGACAATGAAACACAATACTTGAAACTCCAAAAGATGAGTAATCAACAGGCTACAGTTGCGGAGCAAGCAAGCAACCCCCCAACTCGCAGTAAACAAGTACCCTTTGGCTTGTTACTACCTGTTTTAATGAACCAACTTGATAAAGACAAAGGAATGCAACTCCAAGAGCTATTTGGTAAACTGAAGGTAGATATTGTACACAATTTTTGTCATCAAATGTTGTCTCTATGATTAATGCTGATTTCTTGTTGGTTTTGTTCTTTTAGAAAGAGGAAATCTCCAAAGAGTCATTTGTCCGGCTCATTAGAAGTGTGGTTGGGGAGCAGGTGCTCAGATTGGCAGTAATGACAGTTCAAGGACAGGTGAGTAGAAAATGGACTTATTCATTATCTTTGATATATCATGAATAAACTAAAAACTAACACATACGGAACCTTCAACCGAGTTCCAAACAATATCAGCTGCAGTCTCAAGCAGCAATGCGAAAACAGCCTCCAGGGATGCAATCTGTCAGTTCAGGACCGTCACAATTCACTGATCCTCGGTCCTTTGCACAAGTTCATCAAAAGGGTACAAGCACTTCTGCAGATGTCTCACATGTTCCCTCTTCTGTGGGCCAAGTACAGACCAACCCAAGTCAGTCAGCTTCCCACGGACTGCAAGCAAGTCAAATGCCCTCTTCCGGTGCAGGAGCTACCAATCAAGAGAGAGATTCCATGCAAGGGCTTAACAAGCAACAACAGCAGCAACAGTTGCACTTTCCGCAGACCTCTTTCGGCATGTATGGAGGTAATAGTGGTAACATTCACTTGTATTCTGGGACAAATGTCAATACTTCAACATTACCTCTTAAACTGCAACCGCATGATACACAAATCCGGCCAATTCCACAACATCAGAGTGTGGGATCAGCTCAGTTAGGTGGGGAAACACAGGGTTCAAACATGTTGGGTTTACCCAAGTTGGAGAAGCAAAATTCAATTAATGATCCTAGTAGAATGCACATTGGATCACTTTCTCATTTTGCAAGCAATTCAGCTAATCAACAGAAGCCAGCTCCTTGGCAGCCATCGACAAATAAAGACCAAACTGCTGGCCCATTATCATCAACGTCTTACATAAAACCTGAACCAGTTGATCAAGCTATTGAGCTGCAACACAAGCCCTCACCACCCAATTCACAGGGATTGCCTTCTGTATCCGCTGTACAGATTGAACACGGTAACATGTCATCTGGAACTTCAAAAGATGAGTCAACAGAGAAGCACCATTCAAGAATGGGTTTTCCAACTTCCGCAAGCATAGTTCCTTCATCATCCACAAGCATAGTTCCTTCATCATCCACAAGCATGGCTCCCCACAATACCATTTCTTCTAACATGTCTATGCAGCTGGGCCCCAATATCCCAGTAATTCCATCTCCATTATCTTTTTATGCTGCATATGCTATTTTAGGTCTAAATTTATTGTTTTCCTTTGTAAAATCTGTGTATTTTTTGGCATGGCGTATTTCTATGATAATTTTTTTTTTTTTTCTTGACATGATGTGCTTTTCATATATATGCTTAGTTTCGTACAATTTTATTTGCTGCTTATCTATGCTATCAGTTAGGACCTCGGGCACCAATTGGAACGCCACCTGTTGGAACTAATAATAAGACACCTCCAAAAAAGCCTTCTGTTGGACAGAAGAAACCACTTGAAGCTCTTGGTTCTTCACCACCACCAGCAGGGTGAATTAAACCATGCTCCTGTGTACTTGTGTTACAGTCTTCCTTAGTGACAACATTCTGTTAAATCCTTTTTTTCTGTCCTCTCATTGTTTCTGGATAACTTGCAGCAAGAAGCAAAAAGTCTCTGGAAATTTTTTGGATCAAAGCATTGAGCAACTCAATGATGTCACTGCTGTTAGTGGAGTTAACCTTAGGGTACAGTATCTTGCCATTTTCAACTCTGGCTGTCATAGTTTACTACTAAATTGGGAGTATATAACCGCAAACTTTTTTCTTTTTTGGCTCCGAATAGGAAGAGGAAGAACAACTATTTTCCGGACCCAAGGAGGATAGTAGAGTATCTGAAGCATCTCGAAAAGTTGTGCAAGAAGAAGAAGAAAGGTTGATTTTGCAGAAGACTCCCCTTCAGAAAAAATTGGCAGAAATCAGTTAAGATATCTACATTTCCTCTTTTCCAGGGATTGTTCAATTTTATGCATGCATTGGTCAGCAGAAAAAAAAAAGAAATATATATATATATATATATATATATATCATTCATTGATCTTGTTTAGTTTTGGCATATGTTGTACAGCAGTGGTCAAATGTGGTTTGAAAAGTATAAGCAACGATGTGGAGCGCTGCTTGTCACTGGTGAGATTCTAGCTACCTATGTGGTCCATCATTTTTTTTGTTTGTAAAATTACGTTACCTTTTAATTCTTCTGTTCTAATTACTAAGTGAATTATCAGTGTGTGGAGGAAAGAATGCGTGGGCTGATAGATAATCTAATCAGATTGTCGAAACAGGTTAGTTTTCATTTATTTTTTCCTCCGTTCCCCTTTAATTCTTACTTAAGTTTTTAGTTACCTATTTTTTATCTATTCCCTTATCCTGAGAGAATTCCTTTAGCGTGTTGATGCTGAGAAATCAAGACACCAAACTATTACCACCTCCGATATTCGGCTTCAAATAATGACAATGAACCGAAAAGTAAAGGAAGAATGGGAAAAGAAACAGGCTGAAGCAGAAAAGCTTCGTAAACAAAATGAAGTAAGTCCTGTGAATTTTTATGATTAGAATTTCCTTATATAATGAACACACTTGGTATACAACCTGCCTTTTCTGAACATTTAGTGTGTCTATATATATATATACCTATGTATGTATTTAAAGTTTTGAAGACTATCTTTCTATGCAGCCTGAAACTAATAATGGAGGTGATGGAGAAAAGGAGAAAGATGAGGGTCGTGCCAAATCACTTAAGGTATTCAAGATACTTCTCTGTTATGCATTGTTTTATTTGCTTCTTGGACAGCTGAAGAGATTATTGTCTTCTCTACTTTTTCTTTCCGAAGATGCCGGCAAACAAAGAGGAAGATGACAAAATGAGGACAACGGCTGCAAATGTTGCTGCCCGTGCTGCTGTTGGAGGAGATGACATGCTGTCAAAATGGCAAATGATGGCCGAGCAAGCACGACAAAAACGTGAAGGCGGGACGGATGCAGCATCTGGCTCTCAGGTGGGTAAAGATGCGAACCACAAGCCTTCTTCGACACCTGGAAAAATGATGAAGGACCAGCTAGAAGCCGAGAAAAAAAGCGGTGCAGCTTCTTTTGCTGCTCCAGGCAAGTGTTACTAGGCTTATTTACTAATGAGATCTTGATTGTGTAGCTTGTAGCGTCAATATGTTGATTGTTGTAAACTGTTGACATTGTAAAGGGTGTACCGAAGGAAGATTCTAGCTATAGACATTATTTTCTTATTTCAGAACTGAAGCTATATAACTTTTAATGCTTGCAACTTGATTATTCTCCAATCAGTACTTCGTGTATCTATTGCACACGGCAATTTACTTTATTCAGTCGCCAAGGCCAATATGAGATGTAGATAGTGTGGCAATATTAGACGATATTGGTTCAGAGTTTAGTGTTTGTTCTTATTTTTGCTTAAGTAGGAAATTAGTTGAAGAAACCCTCTTGCCTTTTTATATTCTGTCATAAATTTTTATTTCTTTTGCTGAAGTATTGACTTGATATTGTTTTGGCAGGTGCTGTCAGAAAATTCGGAAGAAACCAAGTTATTGTGCCTCAAACTAGGGTGGCTCGTAGCGTAACCGTCAAGGATGTAATTGCTGTCCTGGAAAGGGAACCTCAGATGTCCAGGTCTACTCTGATATATCGTTTGTATGAGAAAATCAAATCTGATACCAGTTCTGAATAGTCCAATACAACAGTAGCTTCTTGTTATCCTAGCGGTAGCTTGTTCTTTCAACTCCGGGAAGATTTTAGATAAAGAAAGAGACGAGTGCAGTCTTAGAACCAAGATGGCCGGTCCGATTTATAGTGCGATGGCAGGACCAACTTATTGAAAACTTTTTTAGATTTAGAATCAACTAGTAGTTAGTATACACAATTCTGGAAGAAACAAAATGTAACTGGTGTTTTGATTTTTTCTCCTTTCTTTCTTGGGCACCAGTCATTCTCATGAGTTTTAGATCCTTTATATTCTTCCCATTCAGAAAACTGCGTGATGATGCTCTGGTCCATTTGATTTTAGTTTTCAAATTACTATATTACAAGCATATCATAACGAAGAAGTACTTAAAAACGATTCTTGATGAAAATCCTGTTCTTTACAACTATGCAATACTAAATATACTCTGTAGTAAAATCCTCCTAAAAATTGCACTACAACTCACCAAATCAATATTTACTGTTATTTCACCAAAGTTCTCATTATGGCCTCGAAATTCTTCCAGAAATTCACCTCTACATAGAAATATGTACGACACAGATTAGGAAAAAAATCAGAAATACCAATCAAGATGGTAAAATGTATTATTTATGCCATTAATAAGAAGAAAAATAAAAGGCACATTAGCACATTAATTATTTAGAATAAAGTGGCATAAATAATAAGAATCCAACCACGTACTTTTCTCCACAAAAATTATGTAGTTGCATGACGTTTCAGAGGGATATAAAGCAGCTATTCCTTCTCGTCATAGTGAAAGGATAGCCAATGCCATTACCTTCAGATTATCCAGATTGTTAATAACCTTAGAGTACGTTGAGACTGTCATAATGTTATACAGTTAATATCGTTGATTGAAGGGAGAGATTTCGTTGTAGGGATGCAAATTGATTTCACCGCTTCGAGGGCGTTGTGTACTCGCGTGGGGACTATCGGTGACACTGTTGAAATGGGTTGTGCTAAGAATTAGACGAAGCGACCTTATCGTGAATGTTGATCCGCGTGTTGCATCTACATAGGTAAATAATTAGGCTTTACAACTGAACATACCGATCCAAGACTAGTGGTTGAATCATCATGTGTAACTTGCACCGTGTTGAGTTGGAAGGAAGGCAACACTTCAAGGAATGGAATTAATTATTTGTTTTAGATAAAGAAAGGGAAGTTGGAGGGTCCACATGATAAAATATTGTTACTCCAATTCTGAATAGATGAGATTAGTGAAATGCTAAACGCTAAAAAGTTGTTAATCATACGCAAAGCAAGAGGTAAATGGGTCCTTTCTTTTTCTCTAATTTAGAAAGATTTAGAGTTTGGTTGGCGATGACATATCTCTATCCTATACTCTCCGATTTAGATTTCGAATTACATTAAAAATTAGAGGCTCATTTATCAAATTTTTTTTTTTTTTTAAATAAGTTAAGAGGCTCATTTATCAAACCTAGAGAGTATTAACCCTATGTTAATTATAATCTAGGAAGTAAAATAAAATTTCATAAAATATTTGCATGTACAAATCACATTGACAAATCTTTGAGAAAATCAAAATCTAGAAACTGAAAGAAGATTTTCTAAAATATTTGAAAATTTCCAAACTGCCGCCCTTCCCTGCATGAAACTATGTAGGTCATTCAATTGGTCTCTTTCATCCGATTTCTTGTGTTCCCCACCCAAAAGGCTAAAGTCCCGGTTTCTATACAGAGATATGCCCATTAGATGAAAGTTTTTCATAGTCTACAGAAACCTTGTTTATCTATTCTATTTTCATAGGCAAGACTGACTAGTAGTTCCAAAGAAAGGAGCATATGGCATAGGCAGCAAGCCTTGGGAAGGCTTTTTTCGCATGACCGGTTCTTTTTTCACATGTAGGTTCCTCCACAGCAAAGATGGTGTGGTCGGCTTGCGCTCTTACTTGGAAGAGATCTCAGTCGGCAAAATAGAAATCAATGTTGGGGATGGACCTTAGCGTTTCCTCTCTATTAGGAAGTAGGGAATCCCTTGCATATCCCATTTTGAGACAGACCATCGCCGATAAAGTGGAATCTACTATTGCCTGCTGCCTGTCAGGTCATTCACTCTCTCTCACTCCCAAGGTTTAGCTCCCGGCTGGGGGAAGAGGGACAAGACATTAGGGATAGCAGCTTCTGCCTCTGGTAATGAATGGATAAGGTGGTAGTTAAATATTTTAGAATAGCCATAATGGAAGAACTTATTGCTTGTCTGGCCCTCTTCCCCGCCCTACGAACCAAACATCTCCTGGTATCTAGTTTATTTAAAAAAGAGATTGGTTAGTCGCTTTTTGTTCATTCTTACCCCGCCCTCTTTTCATCAGTTGACTGCTTTCACTCCTTTCCCTCATCGGATTGGCTTAATAGTGGACTACGATCGTTGCGTTGCCTTGGCAGTCAATTCTATGCGGCGGTCAAGCGAGAAGGAAACCTAGCACTAGCTAGTTGTTTTAAGAAAGCAAGCCATCGAGCTAGCAATGCTCTGAGTAAGCCTCAAGCTAGTTGTTCAGCTATTCAGCTAGCAACGCTTTGAGAAAGCACGTGAGGAATGGTTTCATTCGCTGCTTACTGCTCGCCCCTATCTCTAAAGGGGCTTATGCACTCCACTCGTTACCACTAAACAATGAAGCCAGGAGTGGAAGGAGAGACTTGAACCCTCAACCTCAGCCTTGGCAAGGCTATGCTCTACCATTAAGCTATTTCTGCCGGCTATGGTAGTGGTGAAGCACTACTGACCAATTCACGTATCACTTGATACAGCCGACTTCTGTTTGTCTGCCGGACCACACTCTTGACCTCTGATCGAACTACGAGCACGAGTAGGTAGGCGTCTAGGGGGAGGGCCGGCTAGCTGGGAAAGAAGGGGGGACCCCTCTTTTTTCTTTACACCAGATGAGATGATTATTGGTGGGTCGGGTCCAGTGTGTGCTCTTGATCATAATCACTAAAGGGGCGGGCATGCTGGGTTGCCCTTTCAATCAATCTTCGGTCGCTCAGTGCCTCTATTGGTGCGAGTTGTAAGGAGTCTTGGTCTTGAGTTGAGCTAGGGCATCATTTCATTCTTGTAACGGGAGTGAGAGCACCGTAAGACTAGACAAGTTACTCCATCGCCTTGCAGCGGCATCATCTGTCTTTTTTTTAAGTCATTTTCTAAGACGGCTCCTCTTATTCTGCGATAATCCACAGCAACTCCAAGAGTCCGCTTGGAACCAGTCGATTCCTGAGCCATTCGGTAGGCGTTTGCCAACCACTAAAGCAAGTAAGAGAACCTACCGTGAATGAACTTAAAGAACCACAGATTTTGACTAGATTGTACGCCTTTGTGTCTGGCTATGTATATGGATGTGCAGTGGCACCTCACGAACTTCTTACTGGGGCAGCACGGGTTTGGATGCACGTGTTTTATTCATATTCCTGCGCAATAAAGAGAAAAAGTGTCCCCAAGGCAACCACTTTGTCTTTCTTGGATATGCTCAGTCCGGGTATAGATGCTATGATGTGAAATCTAAGAGACTCGCTGTATCCTTGAATGTTCTCTTTAACGAGGTCGCCTTAAATTTTCCTTAACCTAATTAATCAGCCCCAGGGAAGAATGGTGATGGAGATGTATTGCGGCCTTCTCCTATTCATCAACTCGGACCTCATTCTTCTGCAGTTGATGTTACGAATCAGCCTCACTCTTCAGGCCAGCTGCCCAGCATCTTCTGCCGATTTTCAGTCTGTTCGCTTGACCTCAGAGGATTCCAGTCACCCGGCACAACATGTTTATTCTCGGCGGCGATTACATTATGTTTCCCAGACTTAGGCTACTCCAAAACATCCGCAGTCTAGCCCAGTCGCTTCCTCATATTCTAGATCCCTCTCTCAGGTCCGTCGATCCTCTCAAGTTTCTTATCCTGTTGGAAGATTTTTGTCTAATCTTATAAATCGTTTTCCCCAAGACATCGAGCTTACCTCATGTCAGTTCAATCTTCTCATGAACCTGAATCATTTGCTGAAGCCTTCAATCATTTTTGCCGGAGAGATGCTATGCAGGAAGAAATCAATGCCCAGGAAAAAAAGAAAAGAGACTTTAAGTCTCATTGCCTGCAGGGAAACAAGTCATTGGCTGCAAGTGGATTTACAAGATCAAGCATAAAACAGATAGCTCGGTAGAGAGATACAAAACTATATTAGTAGCTAAAGAATTACTTCAAGAATATTGAGTCGAACCCCTTTAAAGATAGGGGAAACATTTACCCCAGGTTGCTAAAATGACCGCCATTTGTGGTATTTTTGCTTTGGCGGCCATAAAAAAGAATCCCTTATTTTAACTTGACGTGAAGAATGCCTTTCAAAAACATAAGGGAAGGGGGGATCCGCAAGTATAAGTTTCTATTTATCCTCCTCCAACTCCAGGCTTCTCTTCTCGAATCTAACTTGGTATGCAAGCTCAAGAAAGCGATTTACGTTACGGCCTCCGACAAACTAAAGCATGCACCAAGAGCTAAAAAGGGTGCCTGATAAAGGGTTCCATTGTAGCCGTGCGGATTCTTCCATCTTTGTTCGTCGACGTCATGGTCGTTGCCTCATCCTTCTTTTATACGTCGTTGACGACAACATTCTCACCGGGAACGATTCTTCTCTTTTATTTGATTTCATCGAGGAGCTTGGCAACCAATTTGTCTCTGTCTTCCGCTGCATTACTTTCTCGGCATGGAGGTATCTCGCTCCACCTCTGGACTTCGCCTAACCCAAACAAAGTGTACTCTTGAATTCTTATCTCGTTCATCCTGCCCTGCGCTACGCCTATATCTCCAGGTGCCAAGCTATCCGCCTCTAATCTTATAAATTCTTAATAATCTCAGATAAGCGATTATCTCTTAGGACGAGGGTATTATATAAATGCCCTCTTTCTGATTCTTAATAAAGAGTTGAATTGTAATTCAAACATATGAATAGAACGGAGGTTTAGTTGTACCATGGTACATTGCAATATTTGCTCCAGAATTGGTCGATTCATTTAGGTCTTTATTTATTTATTTATTTTTTTAATTTTGGATGTATTCAAATCTGAAAGCTTCAAGAAGTATTTAATCTCAATTATGATGGACAAAAGAATCCATCTGCAGTCATATTTTCTGCTAAATGCGTCACAACATTACATTCTGATCAAAGATAAATTTCCAGTCATTTCATGGTATACTGTTTTTGGTAGACAAAACAAAAGATATATCTGATCTTCTATTATTTAATATCTGAAACTTGCCGTGAAAATACTTGATTCTCATGATCAAACTACATTGAGAGCAATAGGACTCCTAACTCTATGAATGCCATTACTCCATGTCAAAGCTCCAAACACAAAGCTTCCATTGCTGCTTTTTATGGGACTGAGATCAACCCTGAAAGTCTTCTTTTCCCAAGTTTTTGAAAACTTAAGTTTACTGGGGTAAACTGCAATGTTAACACCAGTTGGGAAATCGACGTAAGGGACGTATACTGTTGGACCGTTGCCGTAATAAGTAACAGTTCTGTAAACAGATAAGCTTCCATTGAGACTAGACACACCAATGGAGGGATAGTTAAAGTTGCAGGAAGGTATAGGAGGGGTCTTGCAATTGATTGGTTTGCCCGTGAGGTTTTTAAATTGCAAAGGGCTTGCACCAGTGCTACAGAGAAAGTTGATAATGTCATGAGTATCAAAGTCATATATGAGTCCTGGATCTACTGCTGCAACCGGGTTTACATGTCCGGATCCAAAATCGAAAGGTGTGGCCACTGTGCCATTTGGATCTCGCCTGATGGGCCGCTTGGTGTTATCTAGGACAGTTGCTGCAACAAAAAGTGCTAAGTCATGACTACTCTAAATTTTGAAAAATGATGTAAAAAAATGTTTTGTACTTGTTAATATTATGCTGAGAAGTATAAAATTGTAGTAACCTGTTGTCATTATTGCAGACTTTATGGCTGCAGGACTCCATGAAGGATGGTAGGATTTTAGAATTGCTGCAATTGCCGACGCATGTGGGCAAGACATGGAGGTGCCGGAGATTATGTTGTAATCGACAGACCTCCCACCGGTACCTATAGTTGCAACCGGAGACCATGCTGCCAAAATATTCACTCCCGGTCCTGTAATATCAGGCTGCAGAGGCGTATGCATAGTTGAGCATGACATGTTGAAACACTCTTCATTTTAACTTTATTTTTTGATGTATTTTATGGATGTCCTTTTAAGTAGAATTTCATGTGAAAAGAAATTAATTGATTGATATGACATACTTTGATAATGTCTGGGGTTATGATATTTGGTCCTGCAGAAGAAAAGACTGCCACTTCTGGTGCTGGTTTAGTGTAGAGAATTGTTTTCGTCAGGGAGATTCTAGCTGTTGGATTCCTGTACGAACAGACGTACAACTAATCATCAAACAGAGAATCAAAAAGTATTCAAAAGTCTATTTACTTGTATTTAACTGAGAATTTCATTCTTGTATCTTGACAGGTATTTGAGCAATGTCAAAAAACTCACTTTGCTTTCTTGATATATTTTTGCAGCTCTTCTGCTTCTTCTTGACCAATTATAGTGCTGGGTATGACAAACTGAAAGCCAACATCTTTTAACAAAGGGTCCACAAGAATCATTCCAACTCCGCCACCTTGTCTTACGATTACGCTTTTCTCTGTTCGGTTATCAGAAATGGCCTCAAGTGTGCACACGACGATTTTCCCCTTGATTAAGCTGCTATCTAGAGTATTGTTCTTGCAAACGCTGATGGAGGGAGATAACAAACAATTCTTTTCTTTTAGTTAATGAATGATTTAGGTCAGAGGTTTTAAGTTCAGAAGAGTATCATCGGCTCAAATTCACTATAATTGGGTTTTGGAAGATATTAGAGGGCTTTAAATAAGTATTTTGCCCTTTTCAAATTGAATTTGGAACACCAGAAAGAAAAAAGAAAAGATTTCTTAATTGTGTAGTGGGATGAAATTTGCAATGATGGGGAGAAAAATTGAAAATATACATATATATATTTATGTATGTATGTATGTATACCTGGCATTCTCACTTGGGACTCCTTTGGCAGCTGCAGCACTTCCAGCTATCAAACCGAAATAGCCTTCCATCCTCAGCGGGTTTAAAGATGAACCCTGAAAGCACAAAACATCTTTCTAATAACAGGTACAAATTCAACTGATTTGTGTCTAATTGTATACATGTTTTCATTTGTTTCTGAAAATGAGATATTATGGCACTTGGGAATACTACTAAACTTACCTTTAAAACTCTGGAATTCCCAAGATACACATTAGTAGGGAATTCCCTATCCACAGTGCTTGCAGCAACTGTGAGGATCCAAGGAGCAACATTGCTGGCAGTGCTCGGGAAAAAGGAGTTTCCAGCAGAAGCAGAGACAAAAACTCCATTATCGAACGCGTGGAACGTTCCAATGGACATTGCATCTTCAAAGTAATTTGGCTGGGGAGGGTCAGGGCCCAGTGAAAGGGAGACTATATCCACACCATCATGAATGGCATCATCCAGAGCAGCGAGAATGTCCGCGTCGCTGCACAGGTTAAACCAGCATGCCTTGTAAATAGAAAGCCTCGCACTCGAAGCACCCCCTCTCGCGGTGCCTGCAGCTATTCCAAACAAGCTTACGTTAGGTACCACAGATCCTGCTATTGTTGAGGCAGTGTGGGTTCCATGACCATCACTATCTCGAGGTGATCGAAAGAAAATCCTGCCAGAAGATTCGAGAGGACCATTCTCTGCTTCAAATCCTTTAGAGTAGAACCTGGCACCTATTATTTTTCTGAAAATTTAGATGACCTTACATTAATTCACACATTGTGTATTTGCAGGGTTAGGGTGATCAGAAATGATGTATGGAAATAGTATTTATTCTTTTGCTGGTGCTTAGAAAGGTTGGTTACCTGTTGCAGTTGGCCAGTGTAAAATTCTCACCAGTAATACATTCTCCCTTGAATTTCTCAGGCACGGGGCCCAACCCTTCGTCACAGAAGCTCTCCGAATCTGGCCATACTCCTGCAAAATAAGAATAGGAACTAGAATGAGAATCTAAATGCATGTACTTGCATGTTTGTGTAAATCATAAAAGGATGATGGAGCCATACCGCCATCAATAACACCGACGATGACATTAGATTTTGCGTCAATCGGCAGTTGGTTATACTGGTGGACAGAGTCTATGGCTAGAAAATCCCAGGAATGAGTTGTATGCAACCGTTGCATCTTGCTTTCGAAAACAGAAACCACAGAATCAAATTCTGCAACATATAAAAAGGAGTCAAAACACATGATTGTATGATCACCTGAATCTGTGGCATGCCATATGCATTAGATTGAATAGTTGAATTTTCATCTTTCTTTTACCCCTTTTAGAAATACTATTCCTTGTTTAATTTTCATCAGTAGTTTTCACAGTACCTGCAAGTTTTTTAGCTTGCTCTGATGTGAGCTTGGCTGAGAAGCCTTGGAAGCTTTTACTGTAATGGTGAAGTGCTGCTGCTTGTGCTTCGTCAACACTAAAAATGATTTAAGGGCGAGTTTTAATGTCGATAGATTTATTTAGTCAGGAAACAATATGACTGCAATTAGTAGAATATATCTCAATAAAATTGCGTAGGAGAACAGTTTATTACCTTCCAACAACCGAAGCAAGAATCTTATGGTTTGCGCTAATGACAGCTTCGGAATTGGGGTGCGAATGACGCCCCACGTAAACAATGTAATGCTGCAAATTAGATGAGAACAAGAAAAGGATATATCATGAGTTGTTGGCTTGGGATTATAGCAGAGAAGATCTAAATCCTGCTCTTCACTTTTCAGGACCATTGAATTTTGCAACACATATTGCAATATGATAGCTTTTTGCAACCGAAGTTATGGATTTTAATGTAATGGCTCTGTCCAGTCTCCAATCAGTTGAAGGGATAGATACCATCCATCCCTAAGTAGAAATACAAATATCATACCACCTTAAAAATTCAGGCAAAGACTTCAGTCCTTTATAAAGGATTGGCCCTATATGTAATATGTATAAAATAGAGGATGTAAACTGTTATACCTTTTCAACAAGGACATTACCTATCGCAAATAATGTTGCATTTTTTTAAAGTTGTTACATAGAACCTATTTCTACATATTACAATGTAGGACCGGCCTTTCGTGAAGGACTAAAGACAAACCCTAAAAATTTAAAAGGAGTAAGATAAAGTTATAAAACTAATATGGAAAGTATACGACATGACACTAATATGTGGAGAATGGGGAATGCAAAATAGACTGAAGATCCCAAGATAACTACTTTCAACAGACAATGAGAACGTATAACAAGTTATGACATCCTAGGAATAACTTGGGCTCGAGTTATTTTTCTCTTATAATCCTATGCTTGGCCATCTATTATAGTACCTTGGTGTTTGCACTGGCTCCATGTAGCAAAGAAAATATGAAAAACAATATTAGAAGAGTAAAAACTCTATCAAGATTCATGGTTTTGTGAGAACCCATCAAAAGAAAAATGGAAGAAATCAATCAAGGGAATAGAACTGATGGCCAGTGCTTGCATCTACAAGTTCCTTTTATAGCACAAATCAGAAATCCAAAGCTTTGGTACCATCAAAAACTCCATTGCCGACTTGATTCAGTTGAAGTATGTTAATCAGATGACATACTCAGAGACGAATATATTCTTTATGCTAACTGCTAAGCGTGTTAGTCTTTATTAAAGTCTTGTTAAAGCCGGCTCTTGTTTTTCTCATGAGAAAAGTTCAATCATGTCCCTGTTTTTCGCATCAGTTGATAGTATATACATATATATATATATATATATGTGTGTGTGTGTGTGTGTGTGTGTATATCCATGTTTTTTTATCTCCATATGCAATTAAATTGCACTTTAGTTTATCCTTAGACAAGAGCAAAGGTACATGGTAAAGTCCACAAGTTAGAAAACAATCATATGTTGAACAAATACATACCAATAGATAATGGCAATAATCCCAAATAGACTTTTTGTCCTCCATATATTGTACTAAGCACTTGACTAATTCCTTGTTGGAAAAAAAAGAATAAAAAAAAAAATATCTCGACTTATTCAGATTCCTTTTTAGCTTTGTTTTTTAGATGGAAGGCATATGTAGAAGCTACCAAATGGAACTTCTCTCAGAATTTTTTAAATCATAACATGTAATTACTTTATCCTGTTGGCCCAATGTATGGTCTTATCAATGCATTTTGTTCGGATGTATAGAAGTGCTCGAAAACTTTAGACAGACTGCTTTGCGATAAGAAAATGCTCTTACAACGTTCAAGTTGTTTAGCTTAGTCAAAACGTTGGAAAAAGATAATAAGCTCTTCTAAGATTAGATTGAGATTTTTGGTCGCCAAAATACTTCTCAATCTTTCGTATATGGGGGTGTTTAATGGTTTTGAAGAGGGTATTTGTAGATTTTTTTTAACTGAAATTCTACCCATCATAATATGACTTCTATTATTGCTTTTAGCGTTGTTACATTAACTTATTGTTGATTTCTTGATAATAATTTCCTCTAGTTACTTTTTAAATCCATTTTTTTTATTTGAGAGTTTATAGTTGACTATAATTATATAAGGAGATTGCCATAAGAGATTGTTCATGTGATTCAACAACATAATGAGGAAATTTATTCCTGCGTTTGACAGATTGGGCTTTTTACAAGCCTAAGAAAGTGAATCCCATGTTTCCCCTTCTCTGGCAGTGCTGCAAAACCCACCTTTCTATGCGATTATACTTTGTTTTGTTGCGTCTCTGTCTGCTTAAAAATCGAGGAAAAAAAAATCAGGACTATTAATAGCTGTTGTTAACAAACTATTTTTTTTTTTTGGCAATTCAGCAATAATTTGATTGCTTTCAATTTGTCATGTTAAAAACTGCCCAGACCTTGAAAAGAAACTTGCAGATTTGCCACTCAAATAGACATTCTTGAACGACGATTCTACTGATAAATACATGCATGCTTGATCTAGAAGAAAATTGGCCAAACTACACAGAGAATGAGCTTTGCAAATTATGCAGTGCAAGGAGGAATCCTATGTAGTTTGGTGCCGAGAAATGCACAGCAGAATGACCGTAGTTCGATCCCGGGGAGCCCCAAGCTCTCTTCCAACAACAGATCAAACTGTAACAGCCACAGAAGATTGAAAAAATAGATCCTTTTGCTGCCAACAAAGCCTCTTTACGAAATCACACCAAAACTGTATCGCCAAGTTAACATAGAAATGAGATTAAAAGAACTGGTTAATTATGAACTAGGAGATCCAAACCTCAGGCAAGTTGCTCGAAACTTATTACTTAAAATGAACTAAAATTAGCTGGGATAGGGGAAAGAAGAAAGACAGGCCATCGTAGGCAACCTACATTTATGAAGCATCAACATTTTGAAGCATTTTTTTTTCCAACTGTATGTACTTTACAGAATTTAAATAAGAAACCAACAAGTATCAAACACCGGTATTTCCATCTCAATACAGGAAAGGGAGGTCGTATCGCCTTCCCATTTAAAAGGACTAATAAGTAAACAATTCATCAGATCCAGCACCAATATGGGAACCACAATCATAGTAACACGATTGCACTTATGGCTAGTGTGGACCAATGATGTAATTACAGAAAAATTCATCACCCTTCCTCTCCAAACTCCTTCGTGAATCTCTCGTGGACGTCGAGGTCACCTTTGCTCACTGTAGGCCTCTGTCTAATAAGCACCTTATCAAAATCTGTTTTTGAGATAGGAGGTGGAAGGATCTGCATGGGCATTAATCAATAATACAGTTCAATATTGAGATTCTTGGACTTTAAAAACACACATGAAATGAAAATGTTGAGATTCTCACTCAAATTCTATAAAATTTGATTCCTACACAGCATATTAACATCTTTTCAGGAAAAAAAAAAAGAGAGAAAAAAAAATATTAACATCATGTATTATACGGATTGATAAATTTGTAGTTACACATATCAAATCATCGATAAAAGAAATGTCTGGAACTTCAATAAAAGAAATGTCTGGAACCTCAGTTCTTTTCCTGGAGAAATTCAATTATAAAAGGAGGTGTCCTCAAAAGAAAACAGATTAAGCTTCAGATCACCCAGAAATACCAAAAAACAAAAAATAAAAATAGAACTTCCAATCACTTGCAAAGCCATTAGGTTTCCAAAAGCACAGCCCACAAAGCAGAAGCTAGAATTTTAAACTAATTTTAAACTAAGGGCTACGTCTGCCATACCTTTGAAGCTTGGCCTTCTGCTGCCAGCTCCTGCATGGATATTTGGACGGCACCTGATTGCTTAGGTCCACATGGCATCCACATACCATTAGAGGTCTTAACAAAGAACATAGCATCTTGGGTTTTACGAACAGGTTCAAACAAAACATCCTTAACCTGTACAATTTAAAGCAAACCAACAACAGTAACAATGTGAAATATTTTCATATCATAAATTCAGGTACTATTATGCTTTCAGATAAGATAACATCTCATGAAGGCTCTGTGCTTACACAAACAGCTACATCTGATCCTGAAAAACCTTCTGTTCTGCGAGCTAAACTTTCAAAGTCACTCTCTGTCAAGTTGTGAGGAGTATCTCCTAGATGCACCTGAGAAGGTTTATTGAAACCACAACAGCAGAGCATAATGTTTCTATTTACAGAAAAGAGGTTTATGGCAAAACCAGAATAAACTTGATTACTTTTAAAAAAAAAAAAAAAAAAAAAAAAAAAAAAAAAAAAAAAATTTTATTTTTTTTAAAAAAAAAAAAAAAAAAAAAAAAAAAAAACTATAAAATTTACTAGGAGAAGGAGGAGTCAAGGATAAATAAAGTACTTTGAACATATGCTGTCGAGCCTTCAAATCTGGTAGAGGAATGTAAATGCGCTTGTCAAAACGCCGCCTGATCGCCTGCATTTCTACCGATTAGCCACAGCTACAAAATGGTCCCAGTGTTTTAAACTGAAAACACAAGAACTTCACTCACTTCAGTTTACCTGGTCTAAGGCATAAGGAGTATTTGTTGCTGCCAGAACAAGTACTTTCTGATCATCGTTTCCCATACCCTAAATATTTGCAAGATTATCCAAGTCAACAATTAGACTGTAAAGTTTACAAACTTTTTTGAACGCAAAATTAAAGGGGGGGAAAAAACAGATTTATTCATTCCAACTTCATAATAAGAGAGCATCATGTGGAATAAGCAATGCAACTTGCACTAATCGAAATAAAGCTAGGAGAATAAAGTAAAAATGACAAATAAAATGCTCTAACGAAATAAAATCACTGATTTTCTCCTCCATAATTCATCAAAATATAAATATAGGCATGAAGTAACAAAATTGATAAAAGAATAAGCGAGAGTTTATGATTTATTGGACGACCACAAGTGATATGTGAAATAGTAAAGTTGTATGAACTAGCATGATTTTGGAGAAACTACAAATTTGGTTATTTTAGAAATGAGTGTTGTCAAAAGTATAGTACAGATTAAGATCTAGAATTACTGAAGGACATAAATTATGAGCAATAGTAAAGCGTATCTTCCTCTATATCTTTCCTCATTGGACAAAGCATTAAAAAAAGTTCTGAATTGAGAAAGATTAGTAATAATCATAGTAGTTTAGACATAGACAAATTTGCTTCTTTTACTCGTGGATTCAACTCACACGATTCTCCTTTTAGCCTGCTATAAAAAATCCATGAAATTTTTTTCTATTGCCTATCCTGCTATAATCAACATTCTTCTATTGCCCGCTTCCATGGAATGTTCCATAATTTAAAATTCATGGCTATCAATTTTTATTCTATTTCCTCGTGTCCGCATAAGCTGGAAAAGTCCCAGTGGTGATGGGCCAAAGCCCAGAAGAAGATCCAACACTAGCCTTCGTTACAATTCAAGTTATCAACTAATTACGTGTCAACCTTTATCCACATAGTCATGGTACAAGGAAAAGATAAACTGTTAACTTCATACTGCACCAAAATAAACACTAGTAAGCAAAATTTCTCATATCTTCTTAAACAAATTTACAGAGTTATATCTTCTAAAAACAAAAAAGTAGCCTATAAACTGAATGAAGTTATAAATAAGTTTAGACAAGACAGGTAAACTAATCAAAATAAAAAACATAGGCCAGGTAACCTCAAGAATCTATTCACAACATCCCATCACATGAAGATATACCTGCATCTGCACAAGAAGCTCTGTCTTTATGCGTCTAGATGCTTCACTCTCATTGCCTTCTCCACGTTGACCACATAATGAATCTATTTCATCAATGAATATGATCGATGGAGCACTTTCACGTGCCATATGGAAGAGACTGGAAACTAACTTTTCACTTTCACCCATCCACTTTGACACCAGGTCTGATGACGAAATACTACCGGAAAAAAAATGAAATTCTTAAAAATTAAGCACCAGAAAAATATAAATCCATGCAACTTTATTGCCTAACTAATAAACATAAAAAATATTTAAAGGAGGTATAGTATTGTATAAAACAAAACAAAAAAAACAAAAAGAAAAAAAAAAGAAAAAGCAAAAAGGAAAAGGAAAACTAAAGGTATGCATAAAACAACAAAATGGAAATGCATGCACCGATTGTGTGACAAGCCATCCAAACGTACTTAGCACAAGCATAAAAGATTGACGTATAAATTGTATAAGATCTCACCAAAACTTGGGGGGAAAAGGGAAGATATATCTGTAATGTATAATAGTAAACTATAGATTCAGTATGCAAGGAACTAGAAAGCCACTTATATGGCAATTAAAACAGAACTCCTCGATACTTCAGACATGGATTGCCTAACAAGCCATATCAAAATATCCTCAGTGAAAATATACAGGATTAACAGTGTATATTACAATCTGATCTAACAAAACTCATGAAAAATAAAAAAGATGTTTCTATAATAGTAGACTACAGATTCTATACGCAAGAAACTAGAAACACATTGATATTTGCATTAAAGCAGGAGAACTAGACGTGTAATTTCTTCATACATTCAATGCACAGCGCGCAGAGCACATTCGCAGAAGAATAACTCAACAACATAATTAATATGGCACCATCAACAGGGGTGTTGCCTCCTATAAAAAAGAAACTAATTGAAATTCTATAAATGACTGATAAGAAGAGAACTCCAAAGCATAACATATAAAGACATGAAAAGAATAATATATACTACCTGTAAAATGTAGAATCTGCTTCAGTTGCAACAGCCTTCGCCAAGTATGACTTCCCAGTTCCAGGTGGCCCATACAATAGGAAAGCTCTCCACGGACGTCTCTTTCCTAAAAACAGCAATAAAATAGGCGGTTGAACTATGATCCATCTTAGTAATATGCATACCTACAACCTGATAGATGAAGTAACATATATACAAATGATATAACAAAATGGAAAGTGCTAAACTTCTTTTGCCCAACAACCAGCATATAACACAGTGAAATTTCTCCTCATAAAATGAGCATCCATTCAAAATCACAACTAGAAGATTAGAGGAAATTATTCCTTAAATTTCAAGACAACACTTCTCAAAATTTAGCAACTATTAGTTGAGAACCAGGAGGTTCTGCTTAGTTTCCTGTTCAACTAGAAAAACAAAATGATATATGAAAATACTTCCTCTCGTCAAATGACTGAAATCTCCTGTTAAGTCAAAAACCTTGTTCTAAAAGTGTGATTTATATCAATAATAAACTTCGGAGCTTATTTGTTCTTCTGCTCTAAGCATCTAACCCCAATGCAATACCAAATCAAAATAATGCTGTTAAACAGCCTGGCAATGGCAACACTTTCCCAACAGACAATACTAAACCAATATACCTTCTTATACTTACTAAAGCAGGAAAAATGAAGTATCGCTTCTTGCAATTTCTTAGTAAATAATAATAGAAAAAACAAGGAGAAAACTTAAACTTCTGATTAGAGTGCCTAGATTAGCATATCCAACAGCTCATATTTTCAATTTTCAGACCTACTGACAAGAATCACGCAGGGCACGAAAAAAAACACAATAAATGTATTAAGTACAAATAGATGCAGCACGCTTTTTGTATACTAAACACTTGTGTAGAAACTTATCATTGATTACTTCGCAAGATACTGAGTGATGGAAGAGGTGATAGTACTCAGAAAAGCATTTTCCCCTATCTTGCCACTACAACTATTGGAAGGATTGGTAAAGGTTGCACCATAAATCATAAAGATTCGGAAAGGCTAGACATTTAGACACCATTTTCCAAGTTGATACGAGTCCTACACTTTTTTCCCCCTTTTTTGAGAATCGTAGTTGCCTAAAGTACGTTGCATCTAGTCAACAAAATAATATAGCCACGAACAAATTGCTTGTGTTTTCTACTAATCAGCATTAAGGCAACCATATCTTGCTCTATTGAAAACAATGCAATAAATTGCAGTAGACGCCAAAATCCTGCAAACTTATGTCTTCCTCAAATTTAACAACTCAAAGTCTCATAGAATCAACAGATGCATACATTTCTACCAGAAAGCAAACATGCACACCGCAAGACTAAAGCATATCAACTCCAAAAACGAGGATTAATCCAACAATAATTTCTCAGCAACAAACCAAGCGCATCTTATTGAAAATGATAGATTTCACTCTAGTCTACAGGGCACGTTTACAAAGCCATAATGGAACATAATGGAAAAGGTTAATCCAACAATTATTCCTTGACAACGAACCAAGCACATCTTATCGACAACAATAAGGGGCATGTTTACCAAACCGTAATGGAATGCACTAGGAAAACTAATCGGTTTGGAAAAGAAAATAAAGCAATAAAAGTGGGGATTATAGATTCCCCTTTTAGTTTTGTTCCATTAGAACGTATTATAGGATATAATTAAAATCTCTTTCTAATGTTTTTCATCAAATTTGATGAAATCTCTAACAATACTGGAAGCAAACATGCATACCACAGAATCAAAGCATGACACATCCAAAAACGAAGTTAAACCCCTGTAAAATTTAAGCCTTTTGTCAAATTTGACATCTATACTTACAACACTTAACAAATGCGTAAATTTCTACCATGCATAACACAAATCAAAATATATTAAGCGCAAAAAAAAAGGAGAAATCTAATAATCACGACCAAATAAGGAAACAAAGCTGAAAACGAACCAGTAAAGAACTGCGGGAACTTCACCGGCAAAATTACAGCCTCCTGCAAAGCCTGTTTCGCGCTCTCCAACCCCGCAACGTCGTTCCACTTCACATTCGGCTTTTCCCTGATAATCGCCGAGTTAAGCCCAGCTCTCAGCTTCTCCTTCTCGGGATCGTCCCCGTCGCCGCCTTCCCCACCGTCCTTGGGCTTCGTCTTAGACCTCGTCGCCACAGCCGCATCCCCGTTCGACGCAGGCCCGGGTCCGCCGTCGTCCAAAACCGCGCGGATCTCCTCGGCTCGGCGCAGATACTCTGTGAATTTCTGCGTAATCGCCTCCTTGATCTTAGGGTTCTTCTCGTACTTCAAATGAGTTCGAAAGTACTCCAACGCGTTCATGTACAACGGAAAGGCTTTAGCGTAATTCCCGGCATTATCTTCCTGTACAGCCTGCTTCACGTACTCTATCGCTTGCTCCTTGAAATTGCTATACATCTTAGAGAACAAATCTCACATACAGAAACCAAATCCAAACCCTAGAAATCTGAAATCGAAATCGAAATGGAAATCAAAAAATCGAAGACCGCGAAGAACGGTAAAGATAAACCCTAGGATTTGAATCGCCTCATGTTCGATTGGATCGGAAGTTGATTTCAGGTAAGACGACCTCTGATTCAAGTTTCGTTCAGTTAAATCCTGGCCGAGAAAATTCGGATTTTTTTCCTAGGGAAAATTGATTTGGTCGTAAATTGAACAGAGAGAGAGTTAAAAGAAGAAGAAAAGAAAGAAAGCGAGTATTGTGTTTTGGTCTAGAGACGCGTTTGGGAAACAATTCGCTTAATAATGGGTTGTTTCTTTTTTTCTTTTTCTTTTATTCCATCCTTATAATTAGAAAGTTAAGAAGTTTGGAATTTTATGGTAAAGTGAAATAAAATCTTAACATGAAACATTTTGTGTAAATAATGCGTTTTTCCTTTTTTTTTCTTCCTCCCTTTTTTGATTTTTTTGAATGACATCAGTGAGAGAAACTAAAAACCTTAATATAAAAGAAAAAGATAGATTAACAATGATAATTACAGAAGGTGCAAAGAAGTTAATAATGAAAAACTTCTTGAAATTTGTTTCTGCTGTATTATTCCTTTAGGATATTTTTGCTTTATTTCCTTGTTAAAAAAAAAAAAAAAAAAAACAGAAGTAAAATATGCTTTTCCTTCCCTCCAATAAATAACCAATTTTTCCCTCATAGCCTTGACCATGATGGTCTTTTTAGAAAAAAATTAAAAAACAAATAATTTAGCTTGTTATTATTACTTTAAGAAAATACCCTAAATATTATCTGTTTAATTAAAAAATACTACTTATGTCCTTATTACTTACAGATGTCAATATGACGAGATGGAATTAGAACGCGCATGTTTCCCTCACTCCATATCTTAATCTCATTTTATTTCTCATACCGATCTTTATACCTACCTTATTAAATACAAGGTTGGTTCGAGAAATTCCTATTAGAAAAACTACCTCCATACATTATTCATTTTTCATTAAGAATTTAAAAAATGCTTACAATATTAGCAAACCTAAAAAAAAATTCCATTCAAGTAATTACAAAATTCAACAACATAACTACTAATAAATAGCTCATAAAAATAAATTAAAAATCTTAATGTCAAAGTGAAACTCTAACAAGAATAAATCAAGGTTTAAGCACTAAATTCAAACTCAAACATATATAAAAGTACATTAATAGGAATCCATCTCCCACTCTTATATAATAACTCTATACATGCCCTATAGGGAAGGGCATTTTTTTACGAACATTTTCCCACCCTTTTAAATTTGACAATTTAATTATTATTCTTTTTCCTTAGCAATTGACCCCTTCGACTTAAAAATCTTTATAATTAAGGCCCAAATTAAAATTGACGTTTAGTTTTTTGACAATTTTAAACACGTGACGCACATGTGAGTGTCTATTGAGAGCAATAAAAGTCATGTCTCATCCTTGGAACGTAAGTTGAGGACAATAACTCTTGGAAATCAAGAATTATTTATTACAGTTAATTATATTCGGATACATTAAAAGTCCGTTTGGTACTTAAATTCGTTCCCTGATTTGAATCATGATTCGTAATTCGCTACAGTATTTTCTCTCATAAAAATACACGTAAATCAAAAATGATTCTAATCACATAGTTTGAATCCATAAACTAAACGTCATATAAATGATTCTGAAATCAATATAATCGAGTAAATAAGTTGAGAAATAATCTTCATTGCCCTAAAAAATGTTCACGTGTGTGTTAAGTGATCAAAATCGTCAAAAGAAAAAAAAATAGACGATTGGAACTTAATTGTAAAACTTTAAAAGTTAAAAGGGATTGTCAGGAAAAAAGAATAAGCATCAAATTATGAAATTTAAAAAGTCGAGGAGTTGTCCATAAAAAAAAAGCCAAAAAATGTCATCCCTATGTCGTTTTACTTTTGTCTATTTTTGGAAAGGAAGTCGAAGTTCATTAATTCATTGATGTCGTTTTACTTTGTTGGTGTCATTTTACTTTCTTTATACCGCACACGGAAGAGGCGAAGAGGTTTGTTTTGGCAGTATAGACTATAGATAGCGGCGATCGCGGAGAGAGTAAAGGAAAGGGAAATGGGGAAACGAGAGAAGAAGCAGAGACACCAACAAAAACACCATCGTCGATCAGTCTTTCACGACCCTGAAGAAGACGAAGGTGACTATAGCCTCCCTTCCTCAGCCTTCTCTTCCAAGATGACTAACTCCGATGACGAAGACAACGATGAGCAAGAAACAGAAAATGATGATGAAGTTGAGGGAAAAGACGAAACTGAAGGATACCCATTAACGGAAACGCCCTCAAAATTTCTTCTTTACCAACAATCCGTGCAGGTTTCACCCTTTCACTTTCTATTTCTGTCTGCTAATTGGGGAAGGAAAAAAAAAACCAAGAATCTGAATCTTTTTTTTTTTTTCCATAGTTTTGTCAGAATCAAAATGGGCTTTGTGCTTTAACTGAAACGCATGTGTGATTTTCTCTTTCTTTATGGAGAACAGTCGCCAAAAGGAGATATCAGCTATTTGCAGAAGTTCTTTCTGGTGTATGTGGGTGGGAGATTGCCCCTCCACTTCCAAGAAGATTTTTGCGGTACCGCACTTCTTAGGTACATTACATATCAATGCTCTTATTTATTTATTCTTTTTTTTTTTCATTGGCACATGAAAATGCATAATTTATTAAGTAGACAACTAGCATATCATACAACTATAAGTCTTAACTTCACTAATGGCCATTTGGGTGTGTGTTTATTTATTTATTATCCATTTTATTTTATTATTTATTTATTTATTCTTTTTGCTGCTTGAGGACATGAATAGTCTTCAAACTAGTTACAGCATAGAAATTGTTTTTTTTCACCAGTTGTCATGTTAAAGAAGCACTTGTGCTTGTAGTGTGGTGGCCTAGTTGGTAGTTGGAGAGTGTAGAGATGAAGAACAAGATTAGGATATTTGGAATTTAAATTTCAAATTTACCTATTAGGATGATGTTTATTTTTAGCATTTGATTTTGAATTTAAGATGTGGACAATTTGAATGGAGAGGAACGCAAGGATTCTTGAGGATAAGAAGTTACAGCTTTTAGACACTTTTGAATAAGGCTTAAATTCTTGGCTTTTTTGTGGGCTTCGACAGATAGTCTTTAAATCATTTCTGTTTTCTTTGACAGTCCTCAGCTGGAAGGACGTAATTGAGCACTAGGAATAGTTTGGGGAATTTCTGATTTATTCTGTTTGTTTAAGTGGCTGTTGTTCTAGTTTCCTACATTTTTTAGTTTTGTTTTGTCTTCGTTATTTGTTCTGCCCTGAGGATGCCTCTCCTCTGTTGTTTTTCTGTATCTTCTTTTTATCTTATCATTTTATCAATGATAATGAGCTTTTCCTTATTAATTTTTTTTATGACTATTTAAAATTTAGTTAAGCTAAATCTTTTTGTCAGTTTAAATCTACATTAGTCAGAGAGTTAATGTTGATGAATGAATATTGAGATTTTTGGTTTTCCTCCTCATGAGCTCTTCCTTTGAATCCTTTGTTTTCTCTTTTTTGGTTATATTTCTCTTCTTGGTTATTTTTTTCTATCCAGATTCCATCTCTCTATATTGGTCCTACATCAAGTAGTCTTGCCTTATTTATGAGGAAATTATCCTCCAGGTCTTGAGAAGAACTGCCCATTTCTAATAAGTCATCAACCTCACACAAAAAGATGCTTTGCAACCTGATTTCCTGTGGACATTACTTCCGGGTTCAACTTGTGTTTATTTTGAACTGTCATTGCTTAAGCTGGTAAAAATGCCGTGAAATTATGGTACTGAGTCAATTTTTGTGCTATTGTATGTGTGCAAATGTGTTGTTGGGTAGCGCTCGAATTGAAACTTCTTTTGTCAACAGTTCTTAAGTTGCTTTCTCAGTTGCTTTGCCAATCTCACACGAAATACCTAATATTGATTCTGCGTTTGACAGTACAGAATGGCTCCGTAGTGACCCTAGAAGGACCGCTGTAGGATTGGATTTGGACCTAGAGGCACTGCAATGGTGCATGGAGAACAACATAAATAAAGTTGGGGCTGATGGGTATTCCAGAATAACCCTTTTTCATGGAAATGTTCTGGATCCACTTGAGGCCAAATTGGTTGAATTTAAGCCTCATGAGGTGATAAGGAACATTTCATTGAAAGAGAACAAAGTTGGCTCCAAGAAAGTTGCACCGGAATCTTCTGTTTCAGAGGGGTCTACATCCGCAGCTAGTGATAAAAACATGAGGGATTTATTGCTGCCTGCTAGAGACATCGTTTGTGCTTTTAACTATAGCTGTTGTTGTCTTCACACACGTGTGGAACTGGTTTCGTATTTCAAGCATGCTCTTGAGGCCTTGTCCAAGAAAGGTGGTATATTTGTGATGGATTTATATGGTGGGACATCATCAGAACAGAAGTTAAGGCTTCAGAGGAAATTTGCCAATTTTACGGTATTGTATTCCTTCTCAAGTACTTGTTTAAGTCCAGGGTTCAACCACTGACACTTGTTACTCGGTGCTCGTGGATAGTAGGGTGCAGAAAGATCTTTTTTGAAAAAACTAGTAGAACGATATAGAAGTTCAAAAATTGCATGAGAGAAAAATAAACAAAAGCTTGAAATAGAACATTCTAATGACTTCTCCAGTAGTTTGTCATCTCTGCTATCAGATTCAGAACTGACTGAATTTTATGGAAAAATTCCCATTAGATTCTTTCGGTTGTGCTCATTGTTTCCCTTGTAATAATAACATCATAAATTGTTTGGACATATGCAGTATGTTTGGGAGCAAGCCGAATTCGATATCATTGAGCGCAAGACAAAGATCAGTCTCCACTTTCATCTCCAAAAGCAACAGAAGAAACTACGGCACGCATTTTCATACAGCTGGAGACTGTAAGTTGTTTATTCAAATGGTCTATTAAGCTTTTATCACTTACTGTTTTTACGGACATTGGTTTTTGTATATATATCGGATATTTGTGGAGTGATTCAAACATCCATTGTTCATGGTTCCAAATCACAGGTGGTCGTTGCCCGAGATCAAAGACTGCTTACAAGAGGCTGGGTTTCGATCTGTCCATTTTTGGCTCCGGCAGATGCCCGATACGGGAGAAAACAGAAGTACCGTTGGTTTTGGTGCTGGGAGAGACATAAAATATGAAGAGATGAAACACTTTGAACAACAAGATGCTTGGAATGCATATATTGTAGGTGTTAGATAGCACCGTACTTCCAAGTAACTAATCTTTCAGGTGAAATTACTTTTGTCGCTGTATTTTTCCCGTAAAAGAAACTAGAAAATTCTCCCAACTCCCGGAGTCGATGACAGATTTTTAGGGCATGTTTTTTTGTCCAAAAAACTCAAAAAAAGATAACTCGAGTTTCAATTTTATTCAAGTTCACGTTCTTTTAAGTTTCAACTTTATTCGACTTTACTCAACTTTATTCAAGTTACAACTTCAACTCAAGTTATAACTCAAATTCAACTTAAAAACTACACTCAAGTTATACTCTAAGGCCCCGTTTATTTCGCTGATTTGAGTTTAGAATTCGAGTTTTGCTACAGTAAAAAGCTCTCACAAACAATCACATTTAATTTTTTTGCTACAGTAAAAAGCTCTTACATAAAATCACATCTCAACTCGAATTAAAAACTCGAATTAGCGAACTAAACGGGCCCTAAAAGAACAACCCCTTAGTTTCCACGAGTTCAAGGTTTGTTATGCAATTCTTTTCATTTTCAAATCATTTTTGTAGTTTTCTATATTGTATAACGTGCATTTGGGTAGTAGCACACTAGAACTTTACCTTTATCACTTCATTAATTTGTTCTCACAATTCAATTCTTTTCACAACTTGAGTTGAAAAGTGAATTTATGTGACAGAAAATACTGTAGTAAAAAAGTTAAATTTAAATTTTTGTGAGAGAAAACACTTTAACAAAATTTTGACTTGTGATTTGAGTTGTGAAAAAAACGGGTTTGTCCACCTGAAAATTTGCATTCTACTCCTAGATCTTCTCTATAGAATGTGCATGTACTTCACATAATAAGTAGATACAAATACATGTGTGTCGACGTTTTTTGTATATTTATTTGCATGTATATATTTGACGCAAATACTCATCTAGAGTCCCCACTAATATGTTTTAGACTTGAGTATTAAATCTTGAGATATTTTCCTTTTCCTGTTACTGTAGAATATTAAAAATTTTAGAATGTTACCTAGAGCTGAAAGTTTGTATTGCCCGGCCTGGTCTATTATTTATATGGCTAGGTCGAGCCATATTGACCCTGAAGCAAGGAAGGTCGGTAAAGCTTGAGTGGGTCGGTTTGGCCCGGTTTTGTAACGGAAATTTTAAAAATATATTATATTAAAATATAACACTTCTTGCGCCCCAATCCAATTATAAATTGGCTTAAAACCTTGGCTTGGAGTAGGTTGGTCTGTTGGTCCGATCTAAATTTACAGCTCTAAATTTATTACTGGGACTCTATTATTTGCGTAAGGAAATTATGTCTCTATTTACATTAGGCCCCAAGGTGGCTTTTCCATGGATGAGCGTAAATCTTTGTTATTAGCATTACCTCCTCACCTTCTCTTAGCAAAAAGGGAGGACATTCCTTGTCAAAAATTGTTGGCTTGTTTCGTGCGATGGTAAAAGTTTCTACCAGTTTTGATTATAACACAAAAGTGTGTTTGAAGAATGGGTTCAAATCACTGCAGTTTTGGTTCAAACAGTATTTATTTTTATAAAAATTTAAATTTAAAAAGTTTTACTGCAGTATTTTTTTTCACAAAAATTTTAAAAGTTTGAATTTTGCGTTCAAACCACCTAGTTTGAACCCACATTCTAAATGGGCCCATCTTTTCTTAAACAGAAATCGTAGGAAATAAACTTACTTTCTTATAATAATTCAAACAAATAGCAATTTTGAAAGTAATAGGAGTAAATAACAATTTTGCAGTCCATTGTAGAAATAATAATTTGAAAGTAATAGGTACAGTCGATTACAAAACATTTTGAAATTCCCGAATTTACTTGTGGTTGCGTTGTCGCCACTTGAGGTCTTTGGAGGGACTAGAGTTTGCCTTGTAGGTTTCGTTTGTTTCGCTTGCTCGAGTTAAAATTTGAGTTAAAAAGTGAGTAGTAAAACAAGTTGAATATGAATTTTTGAGAGAAAACATAATAGTAAGAACTCAAGTTATAACTCGGACTAACAAAATAAACGAGGCCTTAGCCTTTTTAAATTTCTTCTATCTCTAGCAAATTTCTCATTCTCAGAATTTCTTCTCTCAATTGCTTGATTTCTTCTCTATAACTCTTGCTCTCTCCATGGCAAGCAGATCTTGACTTCACATTGTCGCGAAAAGGACCGTTGCAAGTAGCAATGCCCTAATGATTTCTCTAATCATTGCGATAGATTCTATTATTGGTCATTGCGGGTAGGTCCTGTTGGGGAAAAATACACCCATACACCCACGAGTAAGAAAATAAACTAAAACAAAAATAACAAAAAAATAGAGAAGATAAAGATTTAGGTGGTTCGGAAAACTTTCTCACTTTTTTCTCTCTATCCAAAACTCCTTACACCATTTATCTATCTCTCTCCTCACTTTCTCTCGCTCTTAAAAGGAGACACTCTTTCTCTGAGCATACATAAAACCTTATATGAAACACTTATTTATAGACTCCTATAAACCATAAAATAACTCATGCCTAACAAAAAGTAACTGACCAAAAATCACAAAATAGTAACTTTCTTAAATTCAATTTGAGGCACTTTCCCAACAATCTCCAGCTTGACTCAAATTCTCTCAACTCACTCGTTTGAGTGTCCAATCTTGAAACCTGTCATCACACTGACAATGCAAACTTTAACAAGAATAAACATGTATCAAGTTCAAACTCTCATCAAACTTGACACGAGAAATTGTCTTCTTCTTTTTCAAAGTATCTTCACTGCTACAAGTCTTCACCATCTTGTCTTTATCATCTTCAACTGTTATCATCTTATTGCACTCTTTTACTCCTGCAACTTCTTTAACAACAGAAGAAGATTCTTTGTGGCTAGGCTCCACCTACAACTGTAGTCCCAATAAGCTTATACAAGTATTTTACTTTTACACCCTTCATGGCTACTAAATCACATCTCTTGACTTACATAAAACCACTATTCGCATAGTACTCATAACTCAAAGTGTCCAAAGCTCCCAAAGAAATCAAACTTCTTCTTAGTTGAGAAACATGCCTTACATTTGTCAATGTCCTCACAACTCCATCAAACATCCTCACATTAATAGTACCTATTCCAACAACATTAGCACTAGAATCATTAGTTATCAACAAAGTACCAGCATCACAGGACTTATAAAAATCAAACCACTCATTATATGAACACATATGAAACGAACATCCAGAATCTAAGATCCAAGAGTCAAAAATATTTTCATCAGTAATAACATAATAAACATTATCTTCACTATCATACCTGTCGCCAACAACATTTGTAAAATCTGAAGTCTCTTGGGTTTCTTGTTTTCTCTTTTCTTCAAGGTGCTTTGTCAGTTCTTCATAATTTATCCTAATATGCTCATTCTTATGACAATAGCAGCACTCAATATCCTTCTTTGGTCGAGATTGAGAACGATCATCTATCTTATCATAACACTTCCCTCGTGACTTATTCCTATCCCTATTTGAATTTGACTTAGCCACTAAAACTTGTTCAGTATGAGACGTACTATTTGGTTTCTTCATATTTGCAGTTTCTAACAGAGTAGTCAACACTTCATCCACAGTCAACGTCGTCTTTCTAACTAACATTATAGTCACTAAAGTTTCATATGATTTGGGTTGGGAGGCGAACAAAATTACCGCTTTATCTTCCTCATCAATTTAGACCTCTATACTTAACAATTGAGTTATGCACTTATTAAAATTATTTATATGATCCCTAACATCACTTTTCTCATCCATCTTCAACTCATACAATTGCTTCTTCAAATATAATCTATTTGTTAGGGATTTCAACATATAAATTTTTTTCTAATTTTTTTCATAACTCAGAAGGAGATGTCTCATTTATAACACTAGTTTAGGAGCCAAACTTAAACGAATAGTACTTATCGCTTTCACTTCTAATTCTTCCAAATCATCATCATTCATATTTTCTGGCTTTTTTCCTTGCAACGCTTTCAGTAATCCCTATCGAATCAGAACATCTTTGACCGTACTCTGTTAGATGTTGAAAGTACTTTTTCCATCAAACCGCTCAATCTGCTCAAATTTTATCCCAGACATCATCTTTACTTTTTTTTAATCTTCACCACAACTCGGATACCAGTTGTTGGAAAAAACATACCCCTACACCCATGCAGTAAAAAATAAATTAAAATAAAAATAACAGAAAAATAGAGAAGACAAAGATTTAGGTGGTTCGGAAAAATTTCCTACGTCCACGGAAGAGGGAGAAAAATTCACTGACAGTTTTAAGAATTACACACTCAATAAACTTTCTCACTTTCTCTCTCTATCCAAAGTCCCTTACACCCTTTGTCTTTCTCTCTCCTCACTTTCTCTCGCTCTTAAAATAATGCACTCTTTCTCTGCACTTTTCTTTGAGCACACATAAAACTTTATACAAAATACTTATTTATAGACTCCTAATAAACTATAAAATAACCCTTGCCAAAAAAAAAAAAAAACATTAACTTACCAAAAAACATGATACAGTAACTTTTCCAATACCAATTTAAGGCACTTACCCAACAAGTCCATCTTAACATGAGTAGGTAGTCCATTCAAAGTTCAATGATTTTGTGGCGTCATTTGTTGTCGGGAGGCAACCCTCACCACCTTCAATTTTCTTCGTGACAATGCGGTTTACCGTGTCTCTGATGGGACGGTGATGGCTCGACAAAGATTTGGGTAAAGTTTCTAATTTTAGGGATGATTTAAGGATTGGGGCCGATTTAGAGTTTGATTGAGGGTTAGGATTTTAATTTAAGGTGTTTTCTTTCTAATTTGGTTTTTTTTTTTTAACTTTTATTATACAAAATCTGATAAGTACGTTTGCAAAAATAACAAAAATCTTATACATACCGTCACCGTTATACCTTGTAAATATCAGTTTTACTACTTAAGTTTAAAAAACAAGGTAAACAAAGTTATTTTTTTTTTATACCCAGTAAATTCAATACTTACATAATATTTTACAAATTTATTTCTTTGATGAATCCATTTTTTACCCAATAAATACATTATTCATCTAATATTCACTCAATAAATCAATTTCTTTTACCAATTTATTTACTTAGTACATACATTATTTTTTTTTTATATTTGCCTATTTATTTATTTATATTACTCATCTAATGCTTACCAATTTTTGTACATAGTAAATAGATTATTTATATGGTGAATTCATTATTTAGCTAATATTTACCTAGCAAATACATTACGAAGTATCTAAATATTTTAAAAATTCATTATAAAATATATTTACTATTTTTTATTAGGAAAAATTATTTTAGGTAGGTTGTGGAGAAAATAATTTTATGGAAACCTTAAAAGACTCCCCATATTTTAAATGTCTAAATCGCTAATTTGAAAACCCTAATCCCTAACCCCATCGCCCCTTCGTGGCAACCTTCAGTTGGTAGTTGCTGGAAAAGCCACACTTTATTGAAAATTTTAATTTGCTTTATTCAAACTTCAAAATGTAAATAAATTTGTCATTCTGTTACTTAAGTGAACGGAAAAGTTGAAAGTGATACAATGAATTATTATAATCCCCTAAACTTAGTTACTTTTTTTTTTTTACTTTTTCTTGAGACGTGTGATTGGTTAGTGGATTTCTGTACTGATTTAAATTATAGTTCATAGTTCGTTATAATATTTTTTTTTATAAAAAATACACGTAAATTGAAAATAATTATGAATCATAATTCTAAATCTATAAACTAAACGTCCAACTCTCATTTAATTCTCGACCTTCAAAATGATAGAAAAACCCTTTCTTCATTTGAAGAACGAGAAAGATGATTTGGCACTAAAGAATTAAAAGTTGAGAAATTAACAATATTATTTATATTTAGATTAAAAAGTTAGAAATTTTTGTTAAACGTGTTATCTCGACACTTATTTAACATAATTATTGTTAAATTAAGATATATTAGAACAATTTTATATATTAAAAGAGTAACTTATAAAAATTAAAAATTTAAGAGGTAAGTTACTAAAGTTATACAAGTTTAGGGAACAAATGTGTATAATACCGTCAAAATAAAGTAACAAACTATTATTAAAAAATAAAAATAAAACTAAAATTCTAATAATTTGGATACGTAAAATATCAGCACTTGGTTTAACTACATTTTGAAAAAAAAAAAAAAAAAAAAAACCCTAGAGTTCATCAGTGACCCCTTCCCGGTCCCCATCCGCAGCAGGAGTGTGCGAGCGCCGTCGCGTCAGCCCAAGCCAAGCTCCTCCACGGTTGGTTTTCTGTTTTTCACTTTTGTAATATTGTGGTCTTTGAGTAGGAGATGCGAACGTTTCTGTTATACATATATACATATATGTATGTATATATATATATATATATATATTTATGTAATCGGTTGCATTGAGCATTCGACCAGATATACTGTCTATCACCTACTGCAATGACAGGTTGTTGACTATAAGAATGAAAAGAGCTTCAGTTGTGTTCGTCACTCGTGTTTGAAGTTGAAGTTGGGTTTTAAAGATTATCGAAGTTTCGTATTTGATATTTTAACAAATTTTGTGAAGTAGAAATTTGTTTAGGAATTCGTTTTATTGTGGAATTTGTTGATAATTGATTTTGAAGTTTGTTTGGTTGTTGGAATTTGCTACTATGATTTTTGTTTGATATTGGTGAAAATTGCTTCTTTTTTTTTTTTTAATTAATTTGGGTGTTTTTGCTATTTGTGAATTTTTGTTGACTATTTTGCTATTTTTGGAAGATTGATATTCGTTTGATCAGTCTGATGTTCTTTGTAATTTGTAAATGGGGTTGTGTGATTAGTTGGGTACTGTTAGAAGTTCATATTTGTCAGATTTCTTTGAGATTTTTGAAATTAGTTTGATATTTGTGTCCTACAATTTGTTATACTATTGTCTTTTGCAGGAGCTATTTTGTCACCGGTCTGACAAAGAAATCTCTACTCAAACCATTTTGAAACTTGCGATATGTCTGGTGGTCCGGGACTTGAGTCTCTTGTAGATCGTAAGTAAACTCCCAATAACTCCTTCGTATTGACTGTTGACTTCAGTTTTGGATGTGTACAATTTGCGAAGCCTGAAAGTTGATAATTTCACCCTCAATCGAGGCAGGGGATGAGCTTGAGGGATTAAGGTTTTAGCATTTCGAAATTTGTATTCATATATCAATTGTTGCATTCTTGTGAATATGCACAGATGATGTTGTAGTTTCTTGGACTTGGTCCTTGGACCATTTATGAGCTGTGCTATACTTGCTTAAGTAATTTATTGAGGCTTAGTTGGGGGGGTTTTTGCGCTTTTTGAAAGATGTTCTACTTTTATTATAGTAAAAGGAGAAGCAGAAACATAAAGCAAGAGTTAAAACAACATGATTCTACAAATAATGGTAAAACTGTGTTGGTGGCCTGTGTCCGTGCAAAATACTTTTGAACACTTTTATCAAAGAGGCAAAGACACAACTTGCTTTGTGTTGTCTGCAAGGGAATTTTGGGGCCTCTAAAATCAATACCTAATTGGCCCTGAATAGGAAAAGAGAGAAAGATAACGGGAATTTTGTAGTAGATAGAAGGAAAAATGGTGCAATGCTTTATTTCTGCGCTCACAATTGTATTGCAACTATTTTGTTTCCCCATTTTATGTTTTTGTGTGGACTTTTGGGGGGAAACGGAATTTTCACACAGGATGCACTTCTTAGCATTCTTTGACATGTGCTAAAAGGTCTCTTGGATCATGTCTTCTTTTGTCAGCTGCAAACACAGACGCACAGACATATGCTCTCTTTATCTAACTTTGACCATTTCCTATTTGTGCAGATACAATATCAGTCATAACAAATGATGGGCGCAATATTGTGGTAAGCTGCGTGCTATTTGAACTCCACCGAATCTACATTTTGGTAAATTTGATCTAATCTTTGTTTCTTCTCTTAGGGAATCTTGAAAGGGTTTGACCAGGCCACAAATATCATTCTTGACGAATCTCACGAACGTGTTTTCTCCACAAAGGTTTGCACAAGACGCATACAATGATAAGCTTTTGTACGAGTGATTGAACATATTGGAGAAGAAAGGGATTTTTAGGAATTCTATTACTCGGGGCAGGGCTAGATGAATTATTTCCTAGTTGTTTTTAAGTTTGCCCTCTCAGTTAGGAACGTTTCAGTATAAAAGAATAGTGTATTTCTGGTTTTCAAATATTGCAGGCTTTTTGGTTGGAGCTCGAGTTTCAAAGTCGAGACAGCTAATAAACTAGCAGGAGTTTTTACGGGATTTACACAGGAATAGTGTTGCCGTCCCGCTATTATAACGTCTCCTTATCATGTTTTGCAGGAAGGTGTTCAGCAACTTGTGTTGGGGTTGTATATAATCAGAGGCGACAACATGTAATATTTCTTTAGCATGATTTTATCTACTATATTTAGTTCCTTCGTGCTGTTGTATAACCTTTGATTCATTTTATTTTGCAGAAGCATTGTTGGGGAACTAGATGAAGATCTTGATTCCAGTCTCGACTGGTCGAAAATGAGAGCTCATCCCCTAAAACCAGTCATCCATTGAGTAACTTGAAAGGTAATAGAGCTGTTGTAGATTGTCTCGGTCAACATCCCGCAAAAGAATTGCCATGACTTCATATAATCATATGGCCTTATTATAGCTCTGTTGATAAAGGGTGGTTTTTTCTTTATAGCGCTGTTAAAATGAATTTTCTATCCTGAAATTGTTCTGATCATGTAAAGGACTGTTTCTGAGTTTGTTTTGAAGCTTAATTGTGGATGAGAATCTGAAGTTGACAGGATATTTGGATGTTTTAATGCGATGTTTTCTTATCACCGGCAATCATGGTTGTGGTAAATCTAGTCCAGTTACACAGATTACGATACCAGAAAAACAAAGGATAGTGATTCTAGACATAGATTTCCTTGCGTGATTGCTGATAAGAAATTGCAAAGTTGGAATATCATTCTATTTTTATACATTTATCTAAAAGCTTTTCTGAACAAAGAGGTAATTTCATTAGACCAAAATAAGCATTAGAATTTTAGGTCTCATAAAGAAACTACATTTAATTTAAATAACAATCTATTGATAAATAAATCAGCAAATCAATATTTTAATTAAAATGAAGGATTTTTTTTTTTTAAGGATGATTTTCTCTGTTTTCGTCGCTCCTTTCTGAACTTAAATCTTGATGACGAAATAACAAAAGAATCAAAAAAACAAAAAGAAATGAAGTGTTGATGCATACATAAATAATTGTGTCCTGGTGCTACCACTTTTGGCGAGGATTGGTTTTGATGAGTAACAATTTTATTTTAAAGGCTGAATTTTGCAATTGAATTTGCAGGGTCGTTGATCACTGTTTGATGGAATGAGTTCATATATGCCTTTATTTATGTCTTTTTCTGTGTCCTCTGAATAAAATTATGTCACGTCCTTTAAATAAAGGGTCACTAGAATCGATTCCTTTTTTTGATATATAAAAGGACAGACTTACAATAGATAAGGGGATAGACTTAAAAAACATGAGGTGAAGAGAAACCTTTGACGCTCAAGTTAGTAACAAGAAATTTTTTTACTTTAGAGGAATGGGATATTAATGATAAACAAGAATTTGCGAAAGAGAATTAAATAATGTATAGAATAGTTAGCAATCGCCTATCTAATAGTTTCAGGGAGAAAAATAAAAAATAAAAAATCTCCTATAGAGAGAAGCCTCCGCCCGATGGGGTGCTTATAACAACACAAAATATAACTAGGAAATATTCCGAAACAGAATTATGAAGAGAAATATATAATCACTAAAGAGATGAAAATAAAACAACGGTGAGAAAAGAGAAAATTTAGTAATTTAAGGGAAAAAAAAAAAACAGAAAAATCTTAATATTCATTCATCCATCAGCAACTTTAATGAAATGACAATCACCATGGTAGTTATAGGCTTAGTTTGGTATTGATTTTGGACCCTTAAAAGCACTTTTTTCTCCAGCTTAAGCTGTTTGGTAAGAATCAAAATAAGTGCTTCAATAATTTTAAGTTGTTTTCACGAAACAGCAAGCTGGGTGCTTTGGATTCTAACTTATGCGGGAATCCCCTCATTTCACATTAATGAAAAATTTTTATTCCCATTTTATCCCCGTTGAAACGAAATAATCCCCATTTACCCATCTCATCTCCATCACTCCCCGCTCTCCTCTCTCGTGACTGAACCTCTTGCAAGGTCCATCACTCCCCGTTCTCTCTCTCTCCTTTCTCGCTCCTCTCTCTCTCCTTTCTCGCTCATCTCTCTCGCCAGTCTACGCTCCGTTCTCCGTTCACCATTCGTTGGTCTCCCAGTCTGCGCTCCATTCTGATCTCCTCCGTTCGCCGGTCTCCCTGTTCTTTCGGTCTCCTCTCCCGAGTTTCGCCGGTCAACCTCAGCCCTCTTAAGCACGTTTTGCTGTAAGTACTCCATTAATCTTAGTATTTCGAAATTTGCTTCTGATTTGTCCCCAAATTTTTGGGTTTTTTGTGTTACATCATTTACTGAATGTGTAGAAAAATAGAAAATGTGCTCGTTAGGGTTTCGGTTTTTAATCCGTAGTAGGCATTAATCCGTGTGTGTTGCTTGCAAGAACTATTTTTTTGGATGGAATTGCAAGAACTTATGTTTGTAGTCTTGGTGTCTTATGCCATTGTAATGAGATTCTCATACTTTGTTCTTCAATAAAATTTCCCTTTTCCAACAGATTTCACCATTTAATTCCTTTAATTTTACAGTTTCTAACAGACTCCAATTTAAACTCTCATTTTGAAGCAAGTAAAATTCCACTATTGGTCCTATTTACCCAATAATCTTAATGACCACAAAATTTCCGTCAAAACAAAAAAGGGACTCTTTTAAAATTAATGTTCTCCAGCATCATCAAGCTAGAAAATGAAGTTCGTGTTAGTTCTTCTTTGTTTTTTTCCTTCTGTGGCTTCTCATTCAATCTAGTTCTGTGTTATATTGGCAGATAGTGTGGTTGATTTCTTTCTTTTTGTTCTTTCCTTCAGGTTACATACCAGTTCTTTCATTGGAAAAAAGTAACCCCGTTTGCCGATGATCAGGGCATCTACAATAGGTTGACTTGGTGGGAACAGATTGACAACAGCAAGCAACTCACTCGGAACAGAAAGTTTCTCACCGTTGTTCCCGTTGTGCTGTAAGTACTTCAGATTTCCTCTATTGGTCTTTCACTTTGGATTTCGATACATGGTAGAAGCATAAACTATATATGGTTATCATGACATTGTTACTCGTATGCCATGGAAGGAGATGCAGAATGATGCACTCCTTTTGTTGTTTCTATGGTTGGGTAAATTGCCTATGTTATATATATCAGAATGATGCACTCCGTTGTTCCCGTTGTGCTGTAGACTCGTTGGGCCTGCATGGGCTATTCTACTGGACAAAACTATGAAGGATGACGTAGTGAAGATTAAGCGAATAGGTGATAGAATTATTATGCTCAAATCGGTACTAGGAAATAAGTTCATCTATGTAATTAGTGCTTATGCTCCACAAATAGGATTGGATGCGGAAACTAAAGTCAAGTTCTGGAAAAACATGGATGACTTAGTGTGTCGTATAGGCAATGAGGATAACATTTTCATTGGAGGACATTTCAATGGGCATGTTGGTAAAGATAGGAAAAACTTTGAAAGGATCCACGGTGGTTTTGGTTTTGGAGCTCGAAACGAAGAAGGGAAATCTATTTTGGAATTTGCGTTGGGACATGATTTTATCCTAACAAACACATTTTTCAAAAAAAGAGATTCTCACTAGATAACTTTTAAGAATGGGAGGAACTTGAGCCAGATAGATTATTTTCTCACAAGGTATAGAAAACGTTCTCTATGTAAGAATTGTAAAGTAATTCCTGGAGAAGTACTAGCCACCCAACATAGATTAGTGATCTTAGATGTGAGCATTAAGCTTTGCTATAGAAGGACTAAGATAAACCACCTCCCACGAACTCGTTGGTGGCATTTGAAGGGAATAAAGCAATTGACCTTTAAAGAGAAATTGTTAGAGGAGGCTACTTTGTCATATATAGGTGATGCAAATACTATGTGGGATGCCATGGCCAGCTGCATTAGAAAAGTGGCAAAGGAGGTACTAGGGGAATCTAGAGGTAAAGGCCCCCTTAGGAAAGAAACCTGGTGGTGGAGTGAGGAAGTTCAAAAGGCTATTAGGACCAAGAGGGATTTATATAGAGATTTATCAAAGCGTAAAGATGTTGAAACTTTTAATAAGTACAAAGAAGCGAAGAAAGAAGCTAAGCGAGCAGTTGGTAAGGCTCGTTCTACTTACTTAGATGAGGTATATAGGAAATTTAGGACTAGAGAAGGAAAGAAGGATATACATAAACTAGCTAAGATAAGAGAAAGGACGTGTCAGGACCTAAATCAAGTGAGGTGTGTTAAGGATGATACAGATTAGGTTCTGACAAAAGATAAGACATTAAGGAAAGGTGGAGGAGTTACTTTGAGAAGCTTTATAATGATGATCATGCGATAGAGTTTGACAATCTTAGGTCACAAGGAGAACCTAATGTGATGTATGCAAGAGCAATCAAAGTCTCAGAAATTAAAACTGCACTACAAAAGATGAAAAATGGGAAGGCATGTGGGCCAGATGATATTCCAATAGAGGTTTGGATGGTGTTAGGAGATGCTGGAATTGTGTGGCTCACTAAGCTTTTTAATGAGATACTAAAGAAGAAGCATATGCCTAATGTATTGAGGAAAAATATTCTTGTCCCCATCATTAAGAATAAAGGAAATGTGCTGAATTGTAACAATTATAGGGGCATAAAGTTAATAAGTCACACTATGAAATTTTAGGAGAGAGTTATCGAAAGGAGATTAAGGGCCACAACTACCATCTCAGGTAACCAATTTGGCTTCATGCCAGGTAAATCAACCACGAAAGCTATTTTTCTTCTTAGGATGCTAATAGAAAGGTACAGAGAAGCCAAGACGGACCTACATATGGTCTTTATGGATTTAGAAAAGGCATATGATAGGGTGCCGAGAGAAGTTTTATGGTGGGTGCTAGAAATGAGAGGAGTGCATGTGAGGTATATTAAGGTAATTAAGGACATGTACGATGGGGTGGTCACGAGTGTGAGAACCGCTGGAGGCTACACGGCAGAGTTCCCCATTCTGATCGGCCTTCATCAAGGATCTACTCTTAGACCTTATCTTTTCACCGTCGTAATGGATGAGCTGATAAGAGAAATCCAAGATAGAGTTCCTTGGTGTATGCTTTTTACGGACGATATAGTTTTAGTAGACGAACATAGGGAATGAGTTAACCGTAAGTTAGAACTGTGGAGACAAACTCTTGAGACGAAAGGATTTAAGTTAAGTAGGATGAAAACTAAATATATGCATCATAGGTTTAGTAACTTAAGTAATCAGAGTGATGAAATTTTCTTAGATGGTGTGGAGATTGGGGTTTCAGGAAATTTAGGTACCTTGGGTCTATAGTGCAGTACGAAGGAGATATAGAAGAGGATATTTAACATAGGATTAAGGCAGGGTGGGTTAAGTGGAAGAATGCTACATGAGTTTTATGTGATAGCAAGATGCCTATTAAGTTGAAAGAAAAGTTTTATAGGGTTGTAATCCGCCCAACTATGTTATATGGTAGTGAATGTTGGGCCATTAAAAGAACATATATCTAATATGAGTGTGACAGAAATGCGTATGTTAAGATGGATGAGTGGCCATACAAGAATGGATCGCATAAGGAATGAAGTTATTCGTAATAAAGTAGGTGTAGCACCAATAGAAAATAAGGTGCGCGAAGACCACTTGAGGTGGTATGGGCATGTCCAACGTAGATCGCTAGAAGCACCAGTTCATGCTTAGGAGGACATTCTTATACCTAATACTAGGAGAGGGACGGGTAGACCGAGAATTACATGGACCGAAGTCGTTAGGAAAGACATTCTAGATCTAGACCTTCAAGAAAGTTTAATTTCGAACAAAGTTGTGTGGAAAAGTGAAATCCATATAGCCGGCCCTAATTAGTTGGGATTAAGGCTTGTTGTTGTTGTTGTTGTATTGATTTGGTGGCACTCTGCAACACTTTATTAAATTTATGGGTAATTTACGAAAAGTAATGGTTTAAGGGATAACCTACTAATCATGAAAAGTTCTAGAGCAAACATGCCAACTAAACCCAAACCGTGAAAAGTTCTTGAGCAAACATGCCAACTAAACCCAAACCCCCTTTTTTTCTCTTTTTTCCATAGAAATGCGTATGCTAGGTTAAACTTTGTTGGCATATGTTTAAGAGAAAGGAGATATTAGAAGAAAACAACAACTTTACTTGTCTACCATATACAACTACACACTGATCTAGAATATATGTTATATACATAGAAATGCTTCAGAAAAAAGGGCATGACAAATAAAGCATAGATGAAAATAAGTGATAATAAGATAAGAATGAAGTTATAGTAGTAGCTCAAGCTTCTGTATGAATTATTATTATTATGAACTATTATTATGAAATATCTCAAGTGCTTGAATGATTTCTCAGCAACCAAACACATCAACTGAATGTCTAAATGATCAAATTGATGAAATTGTCTAGTCATAAAACCGAAGCAAAACCACTAAATACAGAGCATCATATGCAAAAGCATTAAATCAGATGAATGTCTAAATCACGTGGACGTTTGGTTCATGGATTCAGAATCATAATTTAGAACCATTCTCATTTTACGTGTATTTTTTGTGAGAGAAAAAACATTGTAAAGAATCATGAATCATGATTCAGAATCATGGACGAATACAGAAAACAAATGTCCTTTCTTGCTTAAATAAACACAATCATGAAAGACAAATCGAACACGGCCATCTCAGACAAACAAGGTTAACATATTTGAGACCCACAGAAAATCCACCAAATGATCACAAAATCACGAACAGAACAAGTAAAACACTTAAATAAGAGTGATTAATGGCCATACCTTGGTTGGTTTGGGGAAAGACAGACGGATACTTGGCCAAGATCAATCGGAGACGAACCGGCCAAAATCAGACACTCGGCGTAGATCAATCAGAGTTAAACCCAAAATCCCGAATATGATGGAAAATAGCCACCAAACTTTGCAAAGGAAATAACAAGGAGAAATGGAAAACGTGAGAAGCAAGATGGAAATATCTCTGATTTGATGTCTAAATCTACAATATATTTCATTCATATTCAAGAAATGAAAATAAATTACCCTGCAGCATTGGATCACACAGATTCTCATCGAATATTTTTATATATCAATAAGTTCTGCATATTCTTTTTTTTTGAAAGGAAAAAGATTTGCTTAAGATTCAGAAAGAGTTACAGGCATTGAAATCATATGGCATTGGAAAAGGAAAATACAGAAATTCAAATCAGAATACCCGGCTAAGAAAAGCGATATGCTTACGTTAACGAAAAGAAAGAAAATGCGATAATGAGAAAAATGGATTTGAAATCTGAATCCTAAAGAAATGAGTGAGATATGATCTGTTTTTGAATCAGTACCAACCTCCTTCTTCGTGTTCTTGATCTTATGCTTCTGCTTTTCTTGGGACCAGATTTGGAGCGGAGTTCCAAAGCACGTTGCCGTTGAGAAGCAATACTTGTACACCTAATAAACAATTTTTTTTTTTTACATTTTTATAACAAATAATTTTTTTTGGTATACCAATAACACTAAATGAAGAAGAAATCACATGAAAAAAAATTGAGAGTTAAGCACGTAAATCAGCAAAATCGTGAGCAGATTCAGAAGATTAATGGCCATACCTTGGTTGATTTGGGAAAAAACGGGCGGATACTCAGCCTAGATCAATCGGAGACAAACCCCTTGAAGGATCACGTTGTGATTTTTAAGTGAAAAATCATTTAAACAACAACAAACTTGTAGGCAAAAATTTCAAAAATTTTCACATATCATTTTAATTCCGAATTAAACACAAATCACAACGATAGATTCATGCATGATGTGTTTATGGAGAAAAGAATAGGATGACAATCATACCTTTAAGACGATTAGATCAAATATGGCCGCAAGGATCTTGTCTCACTATCTCATGTTCCGAGATGGAGAATTGCCATGAAACAAGACCGTTGATTTATGAACACGAACACACCAACAACCACTCGTTGATTCAAGGCTATGACTCTTAATTTTTAGGAGAAGAGAGTGGGCTCTTTTTTTAAAAAACCTAAGGAAACAAATTTTCTTTATATTTTTCAATACCAAAATCCGGTCACCCTAGAGGAGAGAAATGAGTGAGATATTTCTTTTTCTAGCCACCCTCCTCGGGTTTTCAATAATTTCTCTAAATTCGAAACCTAACCCTAGATGGGTTTTTCTGAATTTTTCCCTCAATTTTTGGAACAAAATCCGAACTCTCCCTTCCAAAAGGATTTCTGAATTTTTCTAAAAAATAAAATCAAATCTCTCCCTCCTTTAGTTGCCAAATAATATTATGTTCAAACTTTATTTATGAATTTTAAATTAATCATCATTAATTTTAAAATTCCAAATTCATTCCTTTTATTTTTCAATTATCAAATAAATGAAAAATAACATAATGAATTTATTTAAACATAATTGTGTAACAAAACATCAGTTTTAATTTTCTCACTTATTAGAGCTAGCCTTGAGACCGAATGGACCCATATGAACAAAGCTATGGAATTACAATACTCGACTAATTTATCCCGATAAGTTATCGACGTATTTAATTCTGACATCGTACGACTCCACTAAAGGTTTGATGCCGACTAATCTCTCGATTCATATGCGCTATTTTTCTGATGGTGTTAATACAATTTATCACATGGTCCACAGAATAAGTACGATATTATCCTTCGTGAATATCAGTGACTAGAATGGTATAGAAAATTACCGTTTTACCATTCTAGTCATTATTTCCTCAACTCCTTTATATGATTGTGAATAAGAAAGACATATGTTCGTAAGATGTCTCGCACATGTCACGACGTCTTAAACAATGAATTCCATCATTGAATACCAGGCCTGGTTTGTTTATTCACACACCCATCAATAAAGCATAAGGTGATATTATCGCTTACGAATTTCATATCTGTGAATCACATAACTCCAAAACAATTATGTCATGATCCCAATAGCCAAGATGTTGTTCAAAAAATTATGAACTAATCTCATTGGTGAATCAAAGACCATGAGAAATTAAGTCGAGTTATGTATTCACTTCAGGATTAAGATAATTACGCAAATACACTTAAGTTGTAATAATTAGATTCAGAGCTCTGTAAACGGTTTTTGCTCTAATCTAATTAGTTACGCGGTCTATTCAACAGTTGTGAACATGTCTAGATCAACCACAGAGTCCAAATCCCATGCCCCGAGACCAACATCACATGGTTCGATCTAACAGTCATAATCGGATTCGATTGCCCAATCGATCCTAAGACTGCGAATATCAATTTTTAAACTTTATCAGAAGAGCTTGTTCGGCAGGGATCCCCTGACTCTTCTTTCGTTGATAACAGTTTATGGACTAAGCAATATTACTAACACTCTTGAATATGAATCAAAACATAACTTTATTTTATTTATAAACATCAGCAAAATAATGATGTCTGATATTTACCATTTCATAAATAACAAATTACACCCTACTTTATAGACACATTTCCAACAAACTCCCACTTGAACTTAAAGTAGGTGTGTACAATCTCGCATCCCTAAGCCCTCCAGATGACTGTCGAAGACTTTACCAGATAAAGCCTTTGTGAATGGATCAGCCAAGTTGTCATGTGTTAATATCTTTGTCACTTCAACATCGCCTCTTTGCATAATCTCCCGAATGAGGTGGTACTTTCGCTCTATGTGCTTGGACCTCTTGTGGCTTCTAGGCTCCTTAGAGTTTGCTACAGCCCCACTGTTATCGCAATACAGTAGCATGTGCCTATTAGCATCCGGAACAACTTCTAGTGATACAAGGAACTTCTTAAGCCATACGGCGTCTTATGCAGCTTCACAAGCCGCCACATATTCAGCCTCCATGGTGGAGTCAGCTGTGCAGGTTTGCTTAATACTCCTCCATACCATTGAACCTCTATTCAGGACAAACACAGATCCTGAAATGGATTTCCTGGAATCCTTATCCGATTGGAAATCAGAGTTGGTGTAACCCGTCATAGTCAGGTCAGTACCTGAGTATACAAGCATGTAGTTCCTCGTTCTCCTAAGATACTTGAGGATATGCTTGACAGCAGCCCAGTGCTCGGGTCCAGGGTTAGACTGGAATCTACTCACCACACCTACCACGTAGCATATATCAAGTCTGGTGCAAAGCATCGCATACATGAGGCTTCCTACGGCTGAAGCGTAAGGAACTCGGCTCATGTCTTCCTCTTCCTGAGGAGTTTTGGGAGGCTGGTCTTTTGAGAGGGATACTCCATGTCTGAAGGGTAAATAGCATTTCTTGGAGTTCTGCATGGCGAATCGGTCCATTACCTTATCGATATATGATGCTTGAGACAGTGTCAATTGTCTGTTCTTCCGATCTCGAAAGATTTGAATTCCCAGAACATAGGCAACTTCTCTTAGATCTTTCATATCAAACTGCTTTACAAACCAGAGCTTAATTTTAGTCAGTCTTCTTGCATCATTCCCAATGAGCAGTATGTCATCCACATATAAGACTAAGAAAATCACTTTGCCTTCTTGTGTCAACTTATATACACAAGGCTCATCCAACGACTGTATAAAACCATAAGTTTTAACAGTCTTATCAAATATGATATTTCATGATCTGGATGCCTGCTTTAGTCCATAAATGGACTTTTGCAGTTCACAAACCTTTTTTTCTCAACCATTTTCAATGAATCCATTTGGTTGAGCCATGTAGATGCGCTCATCCAGGTTGCCATTCAGAAAAGCTGTCTTTACATCCATCTGCCAGATCTCATAATCTAAGGCAACAGTAGTGGATAGAAGAATACGGATGGATTTAAGCATAGCCACCGGAGAGAAGGTATCCTCATAGTCAATTCTTTCTTTCTGGGTGTAGCCCTTGGCTACCAGCCTAGCTTTGAATGTCTCCACATTCCCATCTGGACCTCTCTTCTTCTCGAAGATCCATTTGCATCCCACGGGTTTTATCCTTTCAGGAGGATCTACAAGTGTCCATACGCCATTCTTATACATAGATTGTATTTCAGCATTCATGGCTTCTTGCCAAAGGTTTGCTTCAGAACTTGCCATAGCCTGTGAGTACGAGATATGTTCATCAATGTCTAAATCTGAGACTGCAGTCAATGCATCTCCATAAGACATGTACCTATCCGGTTGTCTCACAACCCTCCCACTACGTCGAGGCTCTATTGGTGTTAGTTCCTGTTGTGGTTCATTTGTCATCAGTTCAGGAATAAAACGTGGAGATGCTACACGAACATTTTCACCGGTCAATTCCTCAAGTACAAGTCTGCTTCTAGGCTTCATATTCTTCACAAAATCCTTTTCCAGAAAATGAGCATTCGTGCTAACGAATGTTTTCTGATCGGTAGGACTATAGAAGATGTAGCCTTTTGTCCCTTTCGGATATCCTACAAACAGACATAATTCTGAACGACTGGCTAACTTGCCAGTCTTCTTTCTAAGCACATGTGCTGGGCAACCCCATATTCTGGTGTGGCCAAGAGATGACTTCTTGCCACTCCATCTTTCATATGGAGTTCCAGGCACTGCTTTAGACGGAACTTGATTCATAATATATGCAGCTATTTCCAAGGCATATCCCCAAAAAGAATCAGGAAGGGATGAGTAACTCATCATTAATCTAACCATATCCAATAGAGTTCGGTTCCTTCTTTCTGACACGCCATTCTGTTGAGGAGTACTGGGCGCAGTCAGTTGAGAAAATATACCTTATTCCTTAAGAAAGTCTTCGAACTCTCCCAACAAGTATTCACCACCACGATCGGATTGTAGTGTTTTGATTTGTTTGTCTAATTGCTTTTCAACCAAGGCCTTGAATTCTTTGAGCTTTTCAAAGGTTTCAAACTTTTGACGCATTAGATAAATATGACCAAAATGAGAATAGTAATCAGTGAAGGTTACAAAATACTCATATCCTCCTCTTGCTTGGATATTGAATGGCTCACATACATCACTATGTATGAGTTCTAGGCATTCATCAGCTCTATTACCCTTTGCTGAAAAGGGTCTCTTGGTCATTTTTCCTTCAATGCAGGATTCACATGTAGGTAGTGAGCCTACACTTAAGGTTTGTAAGGGACCGTCTCTTACTAACCTTTAATCCTGTCAAGGCTAATATGTCCAAGACGTAGATGCCATGTATAGGTTTGATCTGTTGGGTCTAACCTTAACCTTTTACTATCCCTAATTGAATAATCATTCAACTCAGTATCATAAATCGTTGGAACAATTGGTTTAACGTAGAACAAATTGTTTATCATGACTGTAGAAGTAATCATGAAACCATTCTTAAGAATCTGAATAACATCATCATTGAATCCTAAAGAATATCCTTGCTCAACCAAACGAGCTACAGAAATAAGGTTTTTCCCAAAAACCGGGACATAATAAACATTGTTCAAAACAATAAAACTGTTCTTAAAAACTATTTTA